GTCGGTGTCGGTGTAGAGCAATTTGCAGTCAGGAGTTCTCACAACCTGTTGCATGGCGTGAAGCAAGTGGATCCTCGCTGCTGACGTGGTCCACAACGAGATGATGACATTTGATGAGTCATGTTCTTCCACAAATTCCTTCTTTTTGGTGTAGGAAATTAAAAGTAGGTCGTCAGTTAATTCTTCAAAAAAGTTGATAATAATTGAAGGGTCGTTTGAATATTTGGTGTACACTGCAGGGTCGTCCGTAACTACACATTGAGACAATCCAAAGTTTCGGAGAGAGAAGCGACCCCATAAGTTGTTTAAGCATAATTTGGCTTGCGTCCTTTTACCTTTATTAACCTTCATTTTCTCCCTATCGATGATGATCCCAAACTTTTCTTTGCATTCCTTGATAAAGTTCTCTTCCTTCTGTCTGTCTCCTTTGATGTCGTTGTCAAAGCCACTTGCGTGAATTTTTTGTGCCATAAATTCACGGATGTAGGGACGAAAGAGGTTGTCATCGTAGTTTTTATATTCCAAGACTCTGAAGACTTTGGTGACCACATATCCTTCCTTCAATGCTTCGTTCAACTCAATTGATGTACAAGTTGAAACCCATCCCCTTTGTTGGTCTGTGTGTTTGCAGCTGTAGTTCTCGTTCACATCACCATTTGGATTTTCCTTTGCACAAGACGAGCAAAGGGGAAATAGTAGTCTTTCATCGTCGTCTCCAATTTTCATAGGTAGCACTGGTATGTCGATGCTGCGTGGAGGTATCACAAAAACTTTCAGAAGAGCCAATTCAAAAGTGTTGTCAGAGGGTTGTGTCCAGTTGACATCGTTGTTCAAAATATGGACGACAGGGTGACCAATTGGGTAGCGTGTTGTCATATTGATGAACGGGTACAAGGAGGTCACATCATAGTAGGAAATTTTTTGCCCCTCCCCCGTTTTATGGAATAATTTGAGTGGTCCGGTTCTCCCCCCAAAGAAGGCCGATCGAATATCGATCGGTCCATTGTCCAAATAATTCTTAAACTTTAATCTCATACCCCTATCCCTTGAAAGCATCCCCCTTATTTCACACTCCCAATAAACTTCCACTTCTACTCCAAAACTCTCAATAAATTCTAAACGTTTTTCATCCCTCTCCCTTTGAATACCCGCAGAAACACCATTGGGAAGCCTTATTTCATCATCAGGGAAACATTTCCTACATCCATGCCAACAAGACCCATTAACCTCTATAACTAATTTCTTTTCTTCAACCCACCCATCTACCCTATAATTCCCAAATTTCTTTTCCCCTTCTTTAGAATAAGCATTACGTATGTTGACATTGTGTTCCTCAGCGTACCAGCTGAGGAATCGAAGAGCAAGCAAACTCTGGTTGTCTGCGTTGTCGTAGCCCTTCTCTGGAACAATTCCAAGGTGTTGAGATTGTAGATGATTTGTTCTAAAGTGTTTCATGCAGGCACTGGCGATTGTCATTGCCTCCCTTAGTACATCCAAACCATTTGAAACTTCCAAAAATTCGCGCCGAAATGCAACCAGTGCAGCCATCAGAATTTCAACATCATTGGTACAATATGCTGCCAAAGATTCATCCAGATTGAAAGGCTCATCCTTGTGTTGTTCATACCATTTATCAAATTGTGCTCGCTTCTCGGGCATCATTCCATCAGCCAAGTAGTCATCCTTGACCGGGAAAATTTCCTTACCATAATTTTCCGGCCTATTTACCAAGTGTGGAAAGAAAGGTTTGTCCTCTACACTAAGTGCAAAGGCAGGGACCAAGGAAGCAAGGGACATGGGCATTAAATTAAAAGTGTCCCTAAAAATAACCCAATTCTTTTTACCAACTTTTACCTTCATTTCATATAGCTTATTACCTTTTTTAATCATGTCTGGGGTCAACCCTCTAAGAAATAATTCCTTAAAAACTAATACCATATCAAATCTACCCCCAAAGTGTGAGAAAGCAACCGTGTCTGACACGGTAGAATCGATAATCCAGGACACAAACTCTTCTAGGGGATTCTCTGTGACATTTTGAAGGTCAACGGGTGTGTTTTGGAAAGGTCTCGTAGAAAAAGTTATCGTTCTATCTTCCCCACAAACACTACAATCAGGGTCAGGTCCATTATTGATACACTCGGGACAATTTACCTTTACCCCTATAAAATTAACATCGTGCATTTTACCCTTTTCCCCTTCCCGATATTGCATGGTTTCAAAGTCAAAGGCGATAATTCGGTACGCCTTTGGTGGTTTGATGACAAGTGGTTTGATGTAACACCCGCGCTTGGGGTCGTGATAACTACCGCAGGTTGTGCAATACCGTTCAGAGCAAACGTGACCCTCTCTTCCATTCCTATTATTATCCTTAACATCCCAGATAACCCCACATTTTTCACATTTTTTAGAAGAACTACAGAAATTCGAGGTGATATGATGGGTAAAACAATTCTCATTCTTAAAGTCTTTCCCACACCCACTACAATGTTTAAAGAAATCATCTATATTTTTACAAGGAAACCCGGGGCCAACCCTTGAACAGTTAGGACATCTAGCCTTACACGCGATTGAATGGTTAGTTTTCTTATCATAAACAGTTTCACAGGATAAGCAATAGGGTTGTCCAAAAAGATCGCTAGCCCTACGAACCCCATCAAAGTGCTCTTTATTATAAAACAAAATTATGGGTGTATCAAAATTATTGGGGCCATATTTATAAATAGGTTTTTCTCCCAAATCCCCAAAAATAAAAACTTTAAACCATCCTTTATTCAATAAATTCCAATATTCAACCACAGAGGGAATCCATTCTTCCGCATCGTAGGTGTCCAGGTTTAAAGGTGCACCAACACTTTGCATAAGATCCATTGTGTCCTTCTTGAAGAGATGAGCCATCCCTCGTCGACTGCGCATGTAGTCGTAAAATTTCCATCTGGGCCATAAGCATGTTGCATAGATGAAAGTTGCAACAAGAGAGTAGAACAAGCAATAATTGTCGTTGTTGCGAATTTTGATGAGAGCATTGTCATTAATTTTAAGTTGTTTTGCTGATGAATTTCTTCCACGGCCATGCACTCTTCGTGGGGTGTCACTTCGTTGAATAGTGGATACCGAGACAAGAAAAGGTGCGCCCCATAACATACCGTTATCTTGTTTTTTACTCTGCGCGACCTTGAGGAATTGATTCAGGATTGAATCAATCGTGTTGGGGGTGATTTCCCGGACTGGAATCCAGACGTCCGAGTCAAGGTGTTGACTCGATATTATACAACCTAATTGCTCAGGTTCAACCCCCCATTGACGACTCTCTTCAAGAGCTTCGTCAATTGTATTCTGGAAAATCTCAGCTAAAAGGGATTCAGGATCGTTGGGCAGGTTAGAAATAAGGAACTTAGATGAGACCTTAGACGAATTAAATTTTCGGTTAAACTTGGTCTCATGACCAAGCTTCTTTACATAGGGATTATTGGTTTCGGAACCTAGTATATTGGAAATTGAAAAATTCTTAAATTTTTTGGAGGGTGGAGGAAACATTTTTTAAAAAAAGTTTGAAAAATGAAATGTTGTTTTGTCTCGAAGAAGCTGGTGTTGAACAGTAGAATGATTTTTCAGATAAAGTCAATTTCTTTTTATACTTCCGTTCTAGCTCCACCTATTCAAAGGATTTTCAAGATAAATCACAGCTGGATTTTTAGAGAAATTTTCTACTAACGGATTAAAATTTTTAATCTAGGTTAAAATTTTTAATAATAACCTTGAAAAATTGACCTAATTTTTGGAAATTTTATAAAATTTTATTTAAGAGGGATGTTGTAGTACCGAATTAAAAAGCAAGAGATAAAACAACCAGACAGCAATGTAGGCGTTGGTGATAGATTGGAGCAGACGAAGGAAATCAGCACAATATTTTAATATTTCTCCCTATTTTTATCTCTATTTATTCTCAATTTTTATTACTTCACCTTTTTATTTTTCCCTATTCTTTTTATTTTCACTATTTATCCTTTTATTTTTTTCCATTCAAAAATTTTTATTAAAATTTTTCTGTTCTTTTGTTTCAAAAGAAGCAAGTTTTTAGGTCAGGCTGACCTTTAATTTTTTATTAATTTAATTTTTTCCATTGAAACTTATTTTTATTCAAAAACTTTATATTTTCACTATTTAATCCCTTTATTTTTTCCATTCAAAAAATTTTTTATTAAAATTTTTAATCTCTTTTGTTACAAAAGAAATATTGAGGTCAAGATGACCTAGAATTTTTTTAAAATAAGTTTAAAAAAATTTTTTAACAAAAGAGAATCTTTTTTCTAGGTAGAGATGACCTAAAAATCCAAAAGAAAATTTAAAAAATACAAAAGAAAAAAGGAACAATTTTTAAGTTGACCTTGAAAATTTTAAAAAATTCTTAAGAAAAGGGAAAAGTTTAAAAAATACAAAAGAAAAAAGGAAAAGCTTTTAAGCTGACCTGAAATTTCAAAAGAAATTAAATTTAAAAAAGGAGAAAAAATGAACGCACGCTGCGCGAAACGATACAATAGAAAAATTACGGAAAAAGAAAAGGGAAAATAAATATTTAAAAATTTTTGGGGGAATGTAAAAAAACATGTCCTAAACCTTTTGGCTTGATGGGTCTATGGATTGGGACCATATGTCCCTAAACCTTTAGGTTATGCTTAATTAGAGAGGTAATTACATGGAATTAATTAGGGATTATTTACATTTTCTTATATCAGTTATCTTTGATAAGACCCTTTAGGATTGTACCGGATGTCCCTAAACCTTTAGGTTGGTTCTAATTAGCATGTTAATTACATGGAATTAATTAACAAGTAATTACACGGACCCCTCTGCCCCTGACGACGGGGACGGGGGGTTAACTACTGTCAATCTTACTCTCTCTCTAATAATAATTATTAAATTAAAAAGAATATTCACTACCAAAAATCTAACAATTTTTTATTTAATAATTTTCTAAATTTTCTCTCGATTTATTTCAGCCCCGAGTTGTTTAGCTATTGAAAATGAAGCGATTGATGAATTATTACCAGCTTCTCAATTTTATGAAAGCAGTAATAAACGAGCAGGTGCACGCGCCTTCCAACGCCCTGATTTTGATGATGCCAGTTATGAATTGAAAAGAGGGGGTGCACGAACATTTTTAGTTGGGGAAAAAAGAGGTGGTTGTGATTTTAATTTAAAAAAAAAATAATTAAAAAATCCAGGTGGGGCTAGAGCATTTTCTAAATTAGAAGAGAAACGTGGGGGAGCAAGACCCTTCTACGAGGAGAAAAGAGGTGGGGCGAGACCTTTCTATGGATTCTTCGGTGGCGGTGAAGGCACTTGGAAGAGAGGTGATTTTTTTTAATTTTGATGAGGAAAATAAATAAAAATATTTTTTAATTTTTGCTTCCTTATTTAACAAATTTTAATTTAAAAAATTTAAATGTCTAGTAACGTTCCGTTGTCAACTTGATTGACAGAATTTCCTTTTTCCTGTCTTAAATTTGAAATTAAAAGAAAATTAGCACATAAAATTAATAAGAATAAAAATAAATTTTTTTGCAAAAAACCAAAAATTTATGTAGGTGGTAGCCGTTACTTTATCCGACCCTTCGCTGATCAAGGCTTTAGTGGAGTGGGTGCAGGTGGCTGGGCTAAAAGGGGTGGTGGTCGACAATTTTCCGCTGATAAACGTGCTGGTGGACGAAGCTTTTTTGGGTTTTAAATTTTTTTGAAACTCTTTCTGATTTTTTTTTTAATTTTAGTAGTTTCGATTCTGCATTTGATTCAACAAATTATTGGGTCCCACCCAGGTATACACCATTAAACAAGGTCAAAAATAATTAAGTTTCCAGACAATCTATTTCAGTAGGACTTGAATAATTTCGATTAATTCCCAATAAAAATCTAATTATTTCGAATTATTATTGTTAGGCATACATAAGTGTCTTTCATTTTACGGAAGAAAATAGCTTTTAAAAATGGAGGTTAATTAGCTTTCCTATGAATAAAAATAAGGATTAAAAAAGGGACTACATATTACTGAAATAGTTGGTGGAGACACTAATTTTAATCTAACAATATTTAAAAAATTTAAGGCAATCATTGCCATAAACGATGATCAAGTAATGAAAAGTGGCACTCCATTATACAGCCGTCAATTCAACGGATTTAATATTCGAAATAACAAAAAATGATGATTCCAGAAAAAAATATTTTTAGTTTAAAAATGCACAAAAATTTTTTGATCTCCTTTCCTTCCCAGTGAATATATTAAATGAAAAAATATTTTTATTTTTTTAATTAATAAACAAAAAGGATGTACTCTTGTACAAATACATGGTTTATGGCTTTTTTTAAATCAAAACAAAAATTTTTTTAAATCGTTAAAGACCATGTGTACAATGCAATTTATTTGTGTCATTGAAAAATAAAATATTCAAAACCCGAAAATTTTGGGAGAATTATATTCATTTTTTATTCAATTTCCATTGCTTCGTTAACATTATGAGGCGATAAATGTCCAAAGCCATTCAACGCAGTCCAAGCAGTCTGCTCGCGAGCCTGATTAATTTTTGTTAGTGTTACTTTTCAATCTCTTTTTAAATTTTCTACCTGCATTTCCTTCATAGCAGTCAATTCATTATTTGTATTAATTATATCCCATAAGTCTGTTAATTTCTGAGAACGATCACTATTTGGCACACGCTTCAATGCCAAAACTGTTCGAACTGCAGAACGTTTCAATTCCTCGTGTTTATCACTTTCTTGTTTAACAGCATTTTGTTTTGGGCGTGACAAAAGTTGAGGCTTGAAAGAATAATATTTTTTGAATTTATTATTTATTTTTACCTTAATATGTTCACAAAATCCATCCAAACGCTGAGATATTTGTATTGGGCATTTATTAACAAGCCGAGTAAGCATTAAATAGGCAAGAAGTCGAATATCATGAGAATCCTACATAATAAATTTATTGAAAAATTTTATGCTAAAATTACTTTAAGTCCATTTTCCACAAAAGATAAATATTCAGCCAAATTTACACGATCCAAACATTGATCAGCAAGAGTGTACATGCTTAATTAAAATAATTTTTTAAAGAAAAATTTTCATAAAAATCCAAATCCCTTAAAAATGAATTAAATCCGATTCTTCAACCCCCAAAATATTTTTCAATTTAAATTCAAATTTTCTCACCATTCAAAAGCAGCTTTTCTCAAATCTAATCCATCATCTACAACATGTTTAAAGGGGCCCATTTCAACTTCTCGAACCAATTCTTGCTTTACTTTAGTTTCCTCATAAAGTGCTTGTAATAATGAAGGCAAATATTCTTTGATTAATTTAGGCTTGTTATGAACAGCAGAATTTAAAGTAACAATTGCAACACGGCGAACATTTAAATCATTGTCACGGATAGCAGCAAAGAACCTTCCAAGGACTGGACGTAAATGTTCATCTACAGAAGTACGAGGCTGTTCCGCAATTAAGAAGCGTAAAGCGGTGACCACAGTAGCACGGACGTTGGCTGAAGAGCTATTGACTTGTTGCTGGAATAAAAAGAATTTTTTCAGAGAAATTATGGGAAATTAAAGTTAAGCAGAATCCAAGATAATATTAATAAAAAACTCACAACTAATTCGCCCACAAAATGTCCAGGATTAACGGTGCACAAACGACCAATACATTCTGCCACAACATTTCTAATACTTTCTTCATTAGATCCACAATATTTAATTAATAATTCCCAAATTTCAGCAACCCCATTTGTAAAAACAACATCAGCTTTCTCCAAAGAACAAGTTGCACCTGTTTGTTCATCAATAACTTCTTTTAATGCATGCAAAAATAAATATTGACGTCTCTCTTCTTTAGAAATTTCCATGAGTAAAAATGGAAGAAATTTCGTTAAATTTCCAGTTGCCAAGTTTCCAAGAGCATAACTAGCAGCTGATTTAATCTCTTCAAGTGGAGAACCAAATGATTCGATAATTAATTGTTCAGTGCTAAAAAAAACAATGAAAGAATAAATCTTATTATAAAATTCTTTCAGAAAATTTTTAACAATCAAATGTTTTGAAAAAATCCAAAAATTAACCGGATTTCATTCTTTGCAGCATCAATTGTTTCACTACAGCAGTGCCCCAATTCTCCCAAAGCAAGTATTGCATAAAGGCGAACAGAATCGCTGCTTTGATTCTTCAAATAATTTCTGAGTGTAGTAACTAGTTTAGCTGATTTTTTATTATCAGAAGTTGCTTGCGCTACAGTAGCGACCGCCTTTGCAATTGAACTATAAGCCTGTCGATGTAATAATTGAACAGAGGCAGAATGAACTGGTTCGGTAAGTTTTGAAATTATTTCCTTAAAAAATAATTTGTTTATTTAATTATTTAATAAATAACATCAAAGGATGGTTTATTTGGCAGTGGAGAGCGAATTAATGCAGCAATTAATCCCAAAGAGGCAATTAATGTAGAACCTTGAAGCAAGGAACTTTGAACCAAAAGAATAATGGATCTAAAGAAAATTACAAAAAAACTTTTACCAAAAAAATAAATCTACTTGAAAAGATTATTGAGCGAATCACTTTGAATCTGATCCGGATAAGAATTGACAATATCTACAAAAAAATTTAATCAAAAAAATCTTTTATAAACTACAAACTTGTAATAAATGTAACAGCAATTTGACTCAATTGAATATCAATTTCACTAATTAAAGCAGGTATTTCCTTGACTACTTTAATTAAACCAGGCCCTTGTAAACCATTTTGATTGAAACGACGCTTAACAAGAGATTCCAATAAAATAAGTGTGCTCAACTAAATTAAAGGAGAGAATATATAAATAGAATTTAATTTAAAATTATTATTAAATTTCTAGAAAAAAAGTAAAAATACCCGTAAAGAACGCTGGTTTTTACGCAAAAATTCAGAACAAAGAGTAAGCAAATCGGGAAGAAAAGGTTGTAGTTCAATCTTTGCATTGCTGTCTACAATTGTGTTGATAGAACGAACAGTAACTAATCGAGTCATTTCATTTCGAAGTCGCTCAAATAAAGCAGAAAGGCAAGCTTGATTCTAACAATAAAATAACACTTATTTCTTTAAATTAAAATAAAATTTTACAATTTCCGGGGTGAGGTCATAAGTAAAAAGCGACAGAAGCAAGCCTGTTGTAGAAATAGTCTTTTCTTTTACTTCCTGAAAATTTGAGAAAATTAAAAAATAAAAATGAAAAATATTTAAAAACCTGGTCAATATCATTAACTTTTAATTTTGTAACAATAGCTTGATGTAACGAGAGAACATGCTGTTGCACATTGTTTTTATTTAGCTTCTCTTTTTGACAATTCAAAACATAAAGAATTAATTGAGTAGTTAATAATGCTTCAGCAGAAGTTTTATAAAATACGTCCTCAATAGATTTAACAAGTAAAGGAACAATTGTATCAACAAAATTATTTAAATCCTTTAAAATTATAAAAATATTATTAAAATTTTAACAGAATACTTCATAAGTATGTGTAGTTAATATTAAAGAAATAAAACGTAAGGCCTCTATTTTAATATTCCCGTCAGTTGAAGAATTTTCAGATAATGTAGATTTAATGTTTGTAGCAATTATCTCTAAATATTCTTTTAATATGCCTGGATATGCTCTAAAAAGAATAAAAAATTAAATAAAACAATTTACAAACCTAATCAAATGCGACATCAAATTATAGCAATTTAATCTGGTTGTAATATTTTTTGTTTTAATTTCACGCTGCAAAGCTCTCATTAGCGAAGGCACTTGACGTTTAAGCTTAATGAAAACTTGTCGATTTGAGTTGTCCATCTCTTCATTAAGAATACGTTCAAAATTAGAAGCCGAGAATGACTCAGGTTTGAAGTCAGAAGTGCCATGTAAATTCTGAAGAAATAACATTAAAATTTTTTAAAAAATTTTTAGATTTTACTTGAAAATTGAATGCAGCCAATTCTGGACATAATTGTTTTGTAAGCTTTAAAAGTGCAGAATACGCAAAAAGCAAATCATATTTAACATTATCTTCTCGCTCTTTAAAACGATTAATTAACAGAGAACCAAATTTATCATAATTTTCCTCCAAAGCATCATGTCGATAAGTTATCTTTAACAAAAAGAAAAAATAAATCAATTAAAATATTTAACATACCAAAGCCTCAATACATTTTGCAGAAGCTCTTCGAACTTTCCAACTAACATCTAAAAATATTAAGGAAATTAAATAAAATATTAAAAATAAATTAACCATCATCATCAGAATAATTGTCATTTTCTTCGTCAACATCCTCTTCCTCATCTCTACCATTAGTTTCATCATCCATTTCCATCTCGCACTCATCACCATTCCCATAATTATAGTTAGGATCATATGAAATAAATTCAGTGCAAATAGAACTAATTTCTCCAACATAGTCCTCCATATCATTTGTACATCGAAATATGAAGGATTCAAATGCCTAAAAATTATGAGAAGGAAATACAAATTCTGAAAAGATTTCTGTTGGAAAAGTATCCTTTATTGGTTAGATAAACTACCAAATTATTACAACAAATAAAATTTAACAAACCTGCAAACAATTTTCACGTAACTCATCATCATCAACCGTTCGGCATTTTTGTATTAACAAAGACATAATCTACAAATTATTGAAATTCAGGAAAAAAAAATTAAATTATTCACTTTAGGAATAAACGGTGTAATTCGAACAGAAGAAACACGGCAAGTAGTAATTGAAGCTAGCACAAAAGTTTTTAATGTTCCCAAGTCAACATTAGATTTCGAAAAAACAGTCAAAATTCTCTTAAAATTAAAGATTTTATGGAAAATTTTTGAGACAACTAATTCAAAGCAAACCTGCATAATTTTCCCAAATTGCTCATCTGGCACCACATCCGTAAGATACCCTAAAGCATTCAAAGCGCGCTTTCTAAGTGCTGGGCGTTCTTTTTCAAGTTGAGCAAAAATGATTGTTTCGACCTAAAAATATTTTTAAGAGTGAAAAATTAAAGGAAGAGTGACTAAAAACCTGATCAAAATATAAATCGACAGTACGACCATATCTCATAAGTAAAGAGCCAAGAACATCCAAAACTTCCAATTTTACGGCTGATGAGTCAGTCTCTTAAAAAACAACATAAAAAATTAAAAAATTCATTTTCAAACTAAGTGCTTCCAACAATTTAGGAACAACGCGTTTTACACAATTATAGACATTTTGATGAATACCAGTAGTAGGCAATTCATTGAGCACAATCTTTAAAAAATCTAATTGAAGGGTAATGCTAAATACAAACTTTGAGAGCAATTGAACTAACATCACGAAGTGATTCATTAGAAGAGCCTAGATTAACACATAATGCGTCGATCATCATTTCGAGTTGTGGCAATTTAAGTTTATGAACCAATGGGCCTATAAAAGAAAATAAAATTTTACGGAAAAGGAGTTTCTTCAAATATTTTCCAAAAACACTCTATAATTGTACAGCAAAGAATCTAACCTAAACAACGACAAGTCAAGTTTTGCACTTCAGCATTTTTGTCTTGAATCAGTGACAGAAGCGAATTAACAATCTAAAATTAAGAAAGATTTAAAAAAATAAAATAAACAATTTACTCTTTTCTCCATATCTTCATCTAAAGCAATCGATGCTTTACACAATTCTGCCATTAAATCGTTTACAGCCATATAACGAAAATCCTTAAAAATTTAAAGTATTGATGCTTAATTAGAATTTAAACTTTGTCAATATTAGTCATCTTTTCCAAAAGCCCAGAAATTTGAAAAGTCGTGGGCGCAGCCATTTATTATTTTTAACTTTTAACAAAAGAATAAAATTAACTAAAGAAAATAAAAAATATTAAACAAATAAGATGAATAAAAAATAAGAAAAATAAAGACTGCTGAAAGAAATCGTAAAAATTATGACAAATCCCACAATAATCAAATTGGCACTCAAACTGCTGTAAATAAAGTCAAACTGTTACATAAATCTCTAATGTCTCTCCTTCCTTAACCACACTATTTTTCAATATTCAAGAATACGGTCATTTCGAAACGCGGCCAAAACGGCGCGACCGAAACGGCGCAGGTTCTACCGAATCTGATTTTGCCGGACCAACAATGTGGAAGATCGTTCCAACATTGAGAAAAGTTGTTCCAGTAACGGTGAAGGTTATTACGACATCTGGGGATGTTGTTCCGACAGTTTGTGGATTTTTGGCCTTGCGCCGTCTCGGTCGCGCCGTTTTGGCCCGCACCGTTTTGGGCTGTACCCGGAGGGTAGGGGACGATTCAGTATCGCCGATTCAGTCTCGCCGATTCAGTATCGCCGATCCAGTCTACGCCGATTCAGTATCCGCCTATTCAGTATTCGCCGATTCAGTATAGCCGATTCAGTATCGCCGATTCAGTCTCGCCGATTCAGTATCGCCGATTCAGTCTACGCCGATTCAGTATCCGCCTATTCAGTATTCGCCGATTCAGTATAGCCGATTCAGTATACGTGGAAAAGGGGACGATTCAGTATACGTATATTTTTGGGCTAGAAGATCTTTTTTCTTGTAGATTTTTTTCGTGTTTCTTACTTTCTACGATCTATAGAACATCTTTAAAGCTAGCCAAGTCTTAATTCTAGGCTTCTCTTAGGCTTTTTCTGGCTTATGCGTAGACTGAATCGGCGTAGACTGAATCGGCGATACTGAATCGGCGAGACTGAATCGGCGATACTGAATCGTCCCCTACCCCCTTCTGCAAAAACTAAAAAATAAAAGATGTGTCTGTAGTAGAAACCTCGCCATTCACTGTAGAATTCTCGCCGTCTTGAGATATTAAGAAAATTGAAGAAATTTAAAAATTTTTAAAAATTAAAAAAAATTCTAAATTTTCCATAAAAATTATTTTTTTCGTTAATAATTGTTGTTAGTTTTGCTAATTGTTATGCTAGACCACCTAAAGAACAAAGAAAATGCTTAAAACGAAAAAATAAATCAGTTCCTTTCCAAAAATTTCTATTTTTAGGGTATTTTATTCTACGTATACTGAATCGTCCCCTTTTCCACGTATACTGAATCGGCTATACTGAATCGGCGAATACTGAATCGGCGGATACTGAATCGGCGTAGACTGAATCGGCGATACTGAATCGGCGAGACTGAATCGGCGATACTGAATCGTCCTTAACCGGTACCCGGACAATTCACCTTTAAGCTCCTTTGTTTTTAATTTACGGCAAAATATTTTCGAGATCCAGCATGTGAGATTTTTTTTAATGATTTTGGGGGACGAGATCCCGCAAGTCAATCCCGCGCGGGGGACGAGATTTTGGGACGAGATCCCGCAATCACGTTACGTGCCGGCACTAATGTATCTATATTTTTCATTTTTAGAATTTATTTTTTTGCTAAATGATTTGTTTTATTAATCTTTTTTAGATTTTATAAATCCCAACAGTAATTTCATATTTCTCGACCCCGTAGCCAATGTCACTGAAGGATCATGCCGACAAGATGGTGGTAAGGAAATATATTAATTTAAATTTATTGTTAGGATCGTTTTGTTATGTTTTAATTTGGGGAAACTGCCGATTATATGTAATTCTATATTTTATAAATTTAGGGAACTCAGGTTTTTGTTGAAGATGAATCTGGCGATATTTTTAAAGGATTACTTAGAGGGTTTTCAGCGGTTGATCAAGTTTGTTCTATCTTTTTTAAAATTATTCTATTTACTTTCGATTCAGCTCGAGGTTGAATTGGTTTCTGTTTATAAAGTGATATTTGTGTCGGAAAGCAAGTTTTCTTTAACTCGTCTTGGAAAAAATGAAACAATGAAAGTAGTAGCTACACGTATATCTGGTGATTCTGAACCTGGGAATGCACGGAGTTAGTTCTTTTTGTTCTTTGTTTTGGGGTTTTCAACGAATTAATGGTTCCTTTTTGCTAGAAGCTGAATTTTATTGGGTTAAAATTTGGGGGGAATACCTAATCAAATTTGTTCTAACCACTAATAATCGTAAAATATTTTTGTTAGTTCATAGTTAATGATTTAAATGAGCGCAGCAACCGAACCCCGAAAACTCCGACCATGACGGATTTTTTAGCAAAAACCCCCGACCCGAACCCCGAAGGCTCTACCCCCCCCCCCCCCCCCCCGAAGGCCAACAAACCCCGACATACCTTCCCCGGCAATTTATTGGGTTACACTAATTTAAATTGTTTTTTCTCAATGTTAGCATTTATGTACATAATCGTTTTAATATTTATCCTGGATAAAGCTATAAATTACAGGAAAGGTGGAAAAGCGAGATAGCACTTAATATAAAAACATTTCATTTTCAGCGTTTCGAACAGACTCCAAAATTGCCGCAACTAAAAATCTTAATAATGGTGGAAATGAGCATTTAGATATGTCGGATACAGAATTAGATCTCCAAGAATGGGAAGATGACGGTTGTGGTGAATATGGTGCTATCGAATCCATAAATTGTGTTGTAGATGAACTTGATAGTTTGGGTGGGTGGTCTGTTACAGATATGTTCCAAGCAAATAAAGATAAATGTGTTGGAAATGGAACTGTTTTTGATGAATCGGAGTTTTCAAAGTAAGTTTTCTTTTGTTATTATTTTTTATTTTCGATATTTACAAATTAAAAGGACCGAAGGTAATATCGAACCGTACAGACCCCTTTTTCCTACCTAATTTTTCCCTATATTTTTGCAAAATGGTCAGACTTTTTCTTTCTTCCATCCAAATTGCCTTTCTAATTTTTGCCTCAATCAAGCAAAAAGTATTATTTTTGGTATTTATTTCCCAACTCATAAGGGTCTCACGAGTCCATTTTATTTTTATAAATAAATGAATATAACGATGAACTAACTTACAAAAATAAATAGGAGAATATTTTGGTAATTATTTTTTTCTTTGCCATTGAGGAAATCATTAATCGAGAGAAATTTTATTGAATTTGGTAATCTTCTAGTTTACTGGTCCCGAGAAAAAAATCAGAAAGAAGTGCTGTTTCGATATTTTTTAGGGTTACCAGTAGGTAATCGAGTGTGCTGAGTCCGAATCTGAGCTTAGAATTTGCTTATTTCGAACACCGGATCCGAATTCGACAAAGTCGAATTCGGGATAAAAATTTGAAATTAAAAATGTAGGGCTAATCTGAAACGACTATTCGAGTAGAGTAGAATGTTATCAAAATTATGACGTTTCGACAACTTTGGACAAAGTTATGATCAACTAAATACACGATAGTATAGACTTCTGTGCAGAAAACAGGCATCATAACTTCGTTTAAAATGGTCGAAACTTAATAATTTTGATACCATTGTATTTAGCTCGAGGAGACGAGTCGGAATAACTATAATATCGTAATTTCGGATTTTTACCCCGAATTCGACTTGGTCGAATTCGGGTCCGGGGTTCGAAATACGCAAATTCTAAGCTCAGATTCGGACTCAGCACACTCGATTACCTACTGGTAACCCTCAAAAATATCGAAACAGCACTTCTTCCTGATTTTTTTCTCGGGACCAGTAAACTAGAAGATTACCTTGAATTTTAAAATTCAAATTCCTCAGTTTTTTAGGAACTTTTGAACATTTATTTTCTAAATATATAATATAGTATCCTTATTGTTTAAACTCACTTCCATTTTTAACTTTAAAACACTCAAAAAAGGAAATGTTGATTCTTCTCTCCAATTTTCACTTATTTTCTCTAATCTATTGGCCAATGTTCTCTTTAAAACTATTCTTTTACAAACTATACAGTCACTTTCTGCAAAAATGCGGGAAGTATAAATAAATGATAAAATATTTTTCACGGTTCATAGAACGCGTTTTTTCTTTCTTTTTTTTTTTTTCTTTTCTCTTGCAAATTTATATCTTGTAAACGATATGTTTTGTTTTTTCATCATACGTGTAACAATATTTTGATCTATGTGTATTTATTTAAATATATTTATGGGAGAATACATACGGCAAATCGTTTTATGGATTAATTGATTAAATATTTGTCATTTTCCCATTTTTTTGCTTTTAAAAATCTTTGCTTCTAAGCATTTATATTGTTGCTTTGTTATTATTTAGGGCAGATGCCTCAAGAAATTCACCTGAAACGGAAAAATATTGTCTTTGTACTTTAATACTTTAACTGCTGAAACTTAGGTCTCTCTTAGAGCCTTATTTCCAATGATCAACATTTCCTATCTTCCAAAAAAATAATTTTTTTCGTATTCGAATGTAAAGTTAACAAAATTGCCTTAAATACATGAATGACCGATTATCATAAATTTAGTGAATTAATATATTCTTAAAACTCAAAAAGACACACATGGAAGGGGTAGAGTATACTCGCTGATACAGTCATTTTTGTTTATTTATTGAACAATAGATATTTTTCCTAATTTAAATTTCTCTGCTTTCATGATGACTCATCTTTAAAGACTAAATCTAACTGATCACATTTATATTTTTTTAATTTTTTTGTTTTTCAGCGTTGGAATCGGCGAACATAGTAAAGAAGTATTAGAGAAAGCTCAAGCACTTGCACAACAAATTTCAATGAATCCAGCAAGTCGACATAATGCCCAGCTAGAAAATGATGATGAAGAGCGTGATTTAGACGCTGCTACTAAATTTGATGCAAATGAAAAATCGCAAAGAGGAGGTGGAAAATTTAATGATGAATGTAAACAACGTCAAGTAATGGATAAAGTTTCACTTTCAGCGACTAAAATGATTGAGTATAAGAAAGATGATGGAAAATATGTAAGGAATAATATTTTTGGAAAAATAAATTTTGGGGAAAAGATTATTCAAAATAGAAATGGGACCATATAAAAAATTTTTTGAGAACCCTTTGCATAGGTTACATAGAATCATAAGAACCCCTTCGCGAAGTTTACATAGATACATATCAGAGCTGCACGAAAATGAAATTTTGGCTGTAGTGTAGTGTACCGGTGGTAAAAGTTCAGGATGTGACATATGTCATTCGATTCGTCTCGACGAGCTGAGTCGAATGGTACCACTCCCTATTTTAGGAAATGATTCTGGACCGAGTTATAGGTCCCGAAAAATTGAAAAACCAAGGGCTGAGTCGAATGACACCAAAATCAACGAAATCTGACTTGATTTGACAAAGTTATGCTCGTTTGTTTTAGCTCCTTACCTATGGCATCTGTGGAGATTTTTGATGCTACGGAGGCCCCAAATACGTCCAGAGCAATGGAGATAGGAATAGGTTTATGTTACAAGCCCAGACCCATCGCCCGTAGACTCCCCGCGAGGCGCGTGCCGCAAAACCCCGCGCGAAGCGCGGGGTTTTGCACAAGCGCCTCGCCGACGCCCCATAGGTTTAGGTTTTTTGTTTTTCTATTGTAACTTTGTCCAAACTTTTACAATCAAGCTGATTTTGATTTCATTCGACTCAGCTCGACGAGCTCTTTCGAATGAGCTATTATATGCTTTTTCGAATTTTTGACCCTAAAATCCTCCCTATGGTTTTTGACCATTTCGAGCCCTATATCTCGACTCCAACTTGTTCAATCAAGCTGATTTTGGTGTCATTCGACTCAGCTCGACGAGCTCTTTCGAATGAGCTATTATTTGCATATTCGAATTTTTCACTCCAAAATCGAGCTTACTCCCCCCTTTGGTTTTTCAATTTTTCGGGACCTATAACTCGGTCCAGAATCATTTCCTAAAGTAGGGAGTGGTACCATTCGACTCAGCTCGTCGAGACGAATCGAATGACATATGTTACATCCAGAACTTTTACCACCGGTACACTACACTACAGCCAAAAATTTTTAATTGCCAAAAAATATTTAAAAAATACCCAACCTCGATTGAAAGCTTGTCCTGACAATTGGAAATTCAATCAAAATGCTAATAATGAAGAGTAATAAAAATAAACTTTCCATTCCTAATTTTTGTTGTAAATATACAAATTTATTTTTCCTAATTAGTTAAATGCTAAAAGAAGCAAAAATATTTTTTTCATTGATTTAAAAATGTTGAGGTTGACATAAGTAATAAATTAATTAATATTTAATTTACGCATCTGAAAATAAAAAAATAAAAATAACAACAGCAAACTACATAAGAAAATTGTGAAATTAATTAAAAAAACGTCGCTAAATTCAAAGAATTGACCCATATGTGAATTTTAGAGTAATTGACCATTTACAATGTAGGCAGAAATTGACCTTTTTAAAGTTTTTGAATGAGTTGACATTTTGAAATTATTTTACAAAATGCCCAATAAAAACGTCACTCGCAGGGCCACCTCTCGGTTTGGAATAAAAAATAAAAAAACTTGAAAGGCTTTTGTTTGTGCACCTGGTTTAATTAATTTATAATGCTATGAGGAAATTGATTAATACTAAAAATTAACCAAAGTGACTAATTAATTTTTTATTTAATTCTAATAAATTTTACCATTTTAGAACGGAGACGTTTAAATTTTTTCCTTTTTTCGGCTATTTCTTGTAGGCATTTTATCCATTTGGCATTTTGTCATTTACCATTTTTTAATCATTTTTCCTTATTGTCTTTTTAAGCTCTTTTTTTTATTTCCAGCGGAGTTAAACTTTATTCATTTTTCTGTCAATATTCCTTAAACGCTGTAAACTAGTGGAGATAGGAATAGGTTGATAGGAATAGGTTTAGGAATAGGTTTATGGAGATAGGAATAGGTTTATGTTACAAGCCCAGACCCATCGCCCGTAGACTCCCCGCGAGGCGCGTGCCGCAAAACCCCGCGCGAAGCGCGGGGTTTTGCACAAGCGCCTCGCCGACGCCCCATAGGTTTAGGTTTTTTGTTTTTCTATTGTAACTTTGTCCAAACTTTTACAATCAAGCTGATTTTGATTTCATTCGACTCAGCTCGACGAGCTCTTTCGAATGAGCTATTATATGCTTTTTCGAATTTTTGACCCTAAAATCCTCCCTATGGTTTTTGACCATTTCGAGCCCTATATCTCGACTCCAACTTGTTCAATCAAGCTGATTTTGGTGTCATTCGACTCAGCTCGACGAGCTCTTTCGAATGAGCTATTATTTGCATATTCGAATTTTTCACTCCAAAATCGAGCTTACTCCCCCCTATGGTTTTTCAATTTTTCGGGACCTATAACTCGGCCCAGAATCATTTCCTAAAGTAGGGAGTGGTACCATTCGACTCAGCTCGTCAAGACGAATCGAATGACATATGTCACGTCCCGAACTTTTACCACCGGTACACTACACTATATCCGAAATTTTGCTCTCAACGAAACGAAAAACGAAAATAAATTTTTTGACGAAAAATGAAACGAAAGAAAAACGGAAATAAATTTTTATACGAAACGAAACAAAAATCATGAAAAAATTCACGAAAATTACGAAAATCGAAACAAAAATTTTCTAGCAGCTATGATACATATCAATAAATAACATTTCTGTATCGAAACTTTAGTTTAAAGGTCTACTAAATAACAAATTTTATTTATTTCAGGAGAAGAAACCGTTTACTTCCGAAAAGAAAATTCATTCTCAAAAAGTAATGACATCAGAATTAAATGACGTTAGAAAAGGTGGAAATAAAAAATTTGAGAAGGAAAAGAAGGTTGATGCTGTAGACGTTTCCCCTCCACCAGAACCTCTACCTCCACAAAATGTAAAAGCTCCGACACCTATACAAAGTCGCAAAAACAGTGCTGGTGGACGAGCTAGTGTTGATAGGGCAGTATCTGTTCAAAGCAGTGAACAGGGGGATAAAGGAGAAAGGTAGAGGGTTTTGAATTTTGATAGAAATTTTCTAGTTATTTTATTGAAGGAGTTAATCGAAAGAATATTTCATTTTTAACCAGGCTTCGATCTCGAATTTTTATAAATCCGCAATTTTGATCAAAAAAATTCGCATTTGATATGAAAAATCCGCAAAAAATTATCAAACGCAAAAATTGAATTAAAATCACTTTATGCGTTATATTTTTTGACTCTAACAATTGAATTGAGCAATTTTTTCACTCTAATGACTATCTTATTAAAATCCTAACAATTAAATGAAAAATTATGTTGACTTGAGCCAGGCCCGTAGCCAGGATTTTTTTTCGGGGAAGGGGCCAAGGGGGAAATTAAGCTGTGCCAAACTTTTGGCGGAGAAGGCGCCAAAAATTTTTTTCAGCGCCGAAGGCAAAAATTTTGGGAATTTTGGATGGCTGTAGACCAAAAAATTCACTTTTTAGCGCCGCATGCGAAAATTTTTTGAATTTTGGACCTCAAGAAACTAGATTTAATCCATTTTCAGCGCCGCAGGCGAAAATTTTGCGGATTTTGGAAGGCCATGAAGACAAAAAATGACATTTTATCCTAAAAACTACAAGAAAATACGAAAAATCCTCTTAATCTTCAAAAGACCACAAAAATCCGCAAATCCGCATTTTGAAAAATAATCCTCATCGCCCTATTAAAAAACCACAAAATGAGGAAAAATCCGCAGAAATCGAAGCCCTGTTTTTAACTCATCCTATAGTACAAAATTAATTATTAATTAAAATTATTTTTTCTAGAAAATTTAAATTGGACCTAAATGCCCCTTCATTTGTTCCTTCTTCAAAACCATCAACAAAAGTTGCTGAATCCACTACAATTATTAATTCAAATAATAACAATAATAATAATAATGTTTCTTCTGCTCCAACACCAATGATTTCTAATAATAGTTTAGTTGTTTATAATAATAATACTATTGGCACAACAACTTCAACAAATAATTTGGCAACTATAGCTACTAATTTTGGAAATAATTTTGTGACAAATCAAGTAGCAACTTTCGTTCCTGTTCCGGCTGCGTCTTTACAACAATTTCAATATGCTCAACTTCAACACGTTTTTTTTCATTTTAGACTTTTTAAAAATTTAAATTCTTTTTTTAGCAACCGCCAATAGCACAAGCACAGGTTCCTCTTACCCATCAACCAATGTTGACAAATCATAATCTTTCGCAAAGTCCTTCGGTTCAGCCACAACAGCAACATGTGCAACAGGGTAACATAAAATATAAACTCAAAAAAGATGGGGTTGAACATAATTTCAGATAGCAAGAGCCAGGGGGCTTCTGGGGCTATAACCCCCCCTCTTGAAATCGCCCTTGCCAGCTAGTATACATAGTTCTGAATAAATCCCAAATTGATTAAAATCATTTTCTGGATTTTAATTCCAAAATTCCTAACAATAAAATCAGTTTAAATTTTACAAAACTTATAAAAAATATTTTCGAATATTTTTAGTGACTATACCAGCAACTGTTCATCAACAGCAACACATATTTCAACAGCAGCAACAAGCGGCTGGATTTTATGCAACGGGTACTGATTCAGCTAATCTTTCCGGTTATGTTTTGAATTGGGGTGCTACTGCTGGAAATAATTTTATGGCGAACCAAGTAACAACTTTTGCTCCTGTTCCTGCTGCGTCTTTACAGCAATTTCAATATGCTCAACTTCCACACGTTTTTTTATTTCTTAGATTTTTTAATATTTTAAATTTTTAGCAACCGCCTATAGCACAAACACAGCCACCTCCTACCCACCACACAATGCCACCAAATCATACGCTTTCGCGAAGCCCTTCTGTTCAAGCACAACAGCAACATGTGCAACAAGGTAACCTATCTTCAATTTTTGGGTTTTTTTTATTTAACGAGTCTATTTTTAGTGACTATACCAGCAACTGTTCATCAACAACACTTATTTCAACAGCAGCAACAAGCAGCTGGATTTTATGCTTCAACGGGTACTGATGCAACTAATCTTTCCGGTTATGTTTTGAATTGGGGTGCTCCTGCTGGAAATAATTTTATGACGAATCAAGTGGCAACATTTGTTCCTATTCCTGCTGCAGCTTTACAACAATTTCAGTATGCTCAACTTCAACATGTGAGTTTATTTTGATTCACAATAATTTCGATTCACCCCATAATCCCCTGGTTACGGGCCTGCCCTCCATCATTTACAAAGTAACTGAGCCCTAATTCTTCTTATTTATAATTCCCACACCGTTTCTATTTCTTTAACATTTTTAGCAGCCTCCAATTCCACATTCACAGCCACCACTTCCACATCAACCCCCACCAACTCATACACTTTCACGAAGTTCTTCAGTTCAGCCGCAACAACATGCTCAACAAAGTAATTAAATTTATAATTCTTTTTTAAATTTATTTTTCTAGCTAATATGCAAGTGGCAACAGCACATCAACCACAACAACAACGCTACTTTCAAATTAAATACCCCAATTAAATTTAATATTAAGAGAACGATTAATATTCAGACATTTAATATTCATATGGGCGCGTTTGTCAGAAACTTTCCATTTTGTTTTGGATGGGAGAGGAAGGAAAATTAATTAGCCGATATATAAACTTTAAGGATCACAATATTTTTTACTGATTTGTAGATTCAATACTACTATAATTTTTCTTTCCTCCTGCATCCTGAGCGGCTGAACGTAATTCATCCGGTCCTCCATCTGCTATGCCTGACTTTAAAAATAAGATTATTGGAATAAAAAATATTGAATGTAAAAATTTCTCATTTTTTTAAAGCCAAACAAGTCAAATCACAAATAAAAATAAACACAAAAATTACAGCACATTTATTTAAACAAAAATTTTATTTATAATTGAGGCAAAAAGTCAATATTTAAAAATTTATGAGTGATTGGCTGCTTGGCTGGGAATTGGGATGAGAATTTATTTGATTATTATTCCTTTTTTGTGTTGTTGATTGTCTAGATAATAAATCTGTAAGCGGTGGCAATATTCCAGATGCGTTTTGAGAATTTGAATTATTTTGTTGTTTTGATGGTTCCTTTAAAAAAGACAAACCACAAAATTAATTAAAAAACAAAATAATTACTCTACTAATAGAAAAATTAAAAGAAAAAGCAAAAAATATTTTTAAGCAATTTCCTATTAGAATTTTTAAAAATCATTAACTCGCCGAACGTGAAGGGTTCGAATGCTAAAATTACAAAAATTAGATAATTTAAAAATAAAATTATATACCTGTGTGTATTGTTGATATTGAGGGTGGAAGTTGTGTATGGCTAAAAATTAAAAATAAATTATTTTTAACACAATTTTTTAAAAAGTAATATACTAGCAATTATTTAAAAATATTTACCATCTTGCATTATGTCACGTGGATTCATTGTTTCCTTCAACGAACTAGAAATACTTTGGAGAGTCATGGCTCGTGGTTCTTCACCAGAATTTACTTCAAAAATTAAAAATTAATAATTTCTTCAAATTTAAAAATAACTTGTATGTGCATCCATATAAGCTGATGCATCAAAAGCAAACCGTAAAGCAATTGAAGCAAAAAACATCTTTAAAAGATTTTCTACAAAAAAAAATAAAATTCAAAAACCTCAACACAAATAAAAAAGTTTTGATATCCAGCTGCAACTGTTCCTCTACTAATTACTTCATTTCCTTCTGAATCATAAATTGGATCAATGGCTGAAGTAGCGCCAAGTACGGCAAGGAGGAACCCTAAAAATAAAAGAAAAAATGGGTTTAAATTCGAATCGAAAAAATTTCGGGAATTTCAGATTTGCGGATAATATTTAGAAAAATTTGAGAATTATTCAAGTTTCTGCCTTAGAACTCATACCAAAATTTTTAAGAATTAAGGAGAAAAATAATTAATTTACAAACCTTGCCAAAATGAAAGGAAGATGACAGACTTTACAGTCAAAAATTTTAAAACAGGATTGTATGGATGTAATAAATCTTTTGTGGCAGTGTAGAAAAGAAATAAACCATAAAGTGCCAGAGAAACAGAAATATTATAAACACTTGTGATGTAAATATAGCCTTGATCAATACTAAAAACTTTTAATTAAAAAGATAATAATTGTAATTATTTTGGGAATATATATTTATTAATGAGTACAATAATCGGTAATACATATTGAACCTGATAGGCCCCATTTTTTCTTCCCCAAGGTTTGTCCTATATATTTGCAGAATGGTCAGTCTTCCTTCTATTTTCCCTACTTCCATGCAAGGGGGAATAAAAATTAATTTCTTTTGATTGTTTGTAGGCAAAATATAGAAGGGGAATTGGAATGGAAGAAAAAGGTCTGACCATTCTGCAAATATATTCTATAAGAAAAAAACTCGGGAAGGAAGAAATGGGGTTTGTCAGGTTCAATCTTATTAAATGATTATTTTTTAGACTAATGTTCTGTCTAGACTAAATTTCGAAAATGTAAAAATTAAAAAAAAACCTCCAATTTCCATCCTCATATTTTCTAACCATCATCAACATTAAAGTAAGCACCACCATAATTGGTTTAATTAAACAAAATTGTAAAGTAGCCTTTTTACAAAACCGTAAAAATTCAATTGTATATTGTTTCCCCGCCAAACAACAAGTAAAAGTCCAAATATTTGTTGGTTTAATTGGTTTGCCGCGTATTTCGTTCATTATATTACTTTCGCCACCTAAATATTCGTAACAGAGACTGAGGAAACTGTAGATGACAAAGGCTAAAAATATGAATAAATTACATTTAATAAGACAATTCCTTTTAGCGGTTAAAAATGGAATAGAAAAAGGAAATCTTAAAATTCGAAAATTATATCTTTATTTTATTTACAAAAAAGATAAAGAAACATTTGAAAGAATATGAAACAAGGAATATTGAACCGGACAGACCCCTTTTTTCCTCCCCAATCTTTCCCCTATATTTTTGCAAAATCGTCAGATTTTTCCTTTCTTCTATCCAAACTTACTTTTGGAGTTTTTTAGGGAAAAATTGGGGAGGAAAAAAGGGTCCGATTCAATATTACTGAAAAACTGACTCAAATTAAGTTAAAATTTAATAACTAAAAAATTAAAAAAAAAACCTTCATAACAATCACGAATAGAATTGAAGTAGATATAAACATCATTTGAGAAAAATAAAAGAGACAGCCAAGAGTCAAATGCATAAATTGGGACAATAAAAAGACTAAAATAAATTTTAAAAAAATTATAAAAAATTAAAAAAAAACATTCGAATAATCCATCTTTGTTCACTGGGACAAGAATACCATCTTAAATGCTGATAAATTTGGTAACTGGTAATTAAAAGTGCTGCCCAAGTACCTTTAAATTTAATTTTAAATTTTAATTAAAAATATCGTTTTTACAAAGGCCAGCAACGCTGTGAGCCAAAGACCCATTAAAAAAGACATTATTGTCGTGAAGTAAAGATGTATTTGTAATCATTTGTTGTCACAACATTTTTATTAAAAATATTAAAAATCAACTAGAAAATTAAGAACGTTATAAAAAGGGAATTTTTATTAAAAGAAAAAGTGCCGCAAAGGAATTTTAGTAGTAGCAATAACAGAAAATGTCGTTACTATAATTAATGGCAATGTTGAAATGCCGGAGGCTTAACAGCATTTTTCTATTAAGGCAAAAAAAGGGAAGAGAAAGTACACATTTCAAAGAGAAAAAGGCAGACAAGAACAGAGAAAATATTTATAAAGTAACTAGTTTACAGCGTTTAAGGAATATTGACAGAAAAATGAATAAAGTTTAACTCCGCTGGAAATAAAAAAAAGAGCTTAAAAAGACAATAAGGAAAAATGATTAAAAAATGGTAAATGACAAAATGCCAAATGGATAAAATGCCTACAAGAAATAGCCGAAAAAAGGAAAAAATTTAAACGTCTCCGTTCTAAAATGGTAAAATTTATTAGAATTAAATAAAAAATTAATTAGTCACTTTGGTTAATTTTTAGTATTAATCAATTTCCTCATAGCATTATAAATTAATTAAACCAGGTGCACAAACAAAAGCCTTTCAAGTTTTTTTATTTTTTATTCCAAACCGAGAGGTGGCCCTGCGAGTGACGTTTTTATTGGGCATTTTGTAAAATAATTTCAAAATGTCAACTCATTCAAAAACTTTAAAAAGGTCAATTTCTGCCTACATTGTAAATGGTCAATTACTCTAAAATTCACATATGGGTCAATTCTTTGAATTTAGCGACGTTTTTTTAATTAATTTCACAATTTTCTTATGTAGTTTGCTGTTGTTATTTTTATTTTTTTATTTTCAGATGCGTAAATTAAATATTAATTAATTTATTACTTATGTCAACCTCAACATTTTTAAATCAATGAAAAAAATATTTTTGCTTCTTTTAGCATTTAACTAATTAGGAAAAATAAATTTGTATATTTACAACAAAAATTAGGAATGGAAAGTTTATTTTTATTACTCTTCATTATTAGCATTTTGATTGAATTTCCAATTGTCAGGACAAGCTTTCAATCGAGGTTGGGTATTTTTTAAATATTTTTTGGCAATTAAAAATTTTTGGCTGTAGTGTAGTGTACCGGTGGTAAAAGTTCTGGATGTAACATATGTCATTCGATTCGTCTCGACGAGCTGAGTCGAATGGTACCACTCCCTACTTTAGGAAATGATTCTGGACCGAGTTATAGGTCCCGAAAAATTGAAAAACCAAAGGGGGGAGTAAGCTCGATTTTGAAGTGAAAAATTCGAATATGCAAATAATAGCTCATTCGAAAGAGCTCGTCGAGCTGAGTCGAATGACACCAAAATCAACGAAATCTGACTTGATTTGACAAAGTTATGAGCATTTGTTTTAGCTCCTTACCTTTGGTCTACGTGGAGGTTTTTGCTGTTACTGGAGCCCCAAGTACATTCAGAGCAAGGGAGATGGGAGTAGGTTTATGTTACGAGCCCAGACCCATCGCCCGTAGACTCCCCGCGAGGCGCGTGCCGCAAAACCCCGCGCGAAGCGCGGGGTTTTGCACAAGCGCCTCGCCGACGCCCCATAGGTTTATGTTGATTGTTTTTTTGTTGTAACTTTATCCAAACTCTTTCAATCATGATGATTCTGGTATCATTCGACTCATCTCGACGAGCTCTTTCGAATGAGCTATTATTTGCATATTCGAATTTTTCAACCCAAAATCGAGCTTACTCCCCCCTATGGTTTTTCAATTTTTCGGGACCTATAACTCGGCCCAGAATCATTTCCTAAAGTTGAGAGTTGTACCGTTCGACTCAGCTCGTCGAGACGAATCGAATGACATATGTCACGTACCGAACTTTTACCACCGGTACACTACACTATATCCAAATTTTTTTTAAAGACGTCCATCACTTTATTTACCTTCTAAACAATGTGATAAACCATGTTTTAATGGTGGAACTTGTTCTGATGGTGCATGCCATTGCTCGTCGGGGTGGAATGGGCCACAATGTGAAAATTGTCACGGAAGGATTTTGTAAGGATTTAAAAAATTAATTTTAAAAAATAAGTACATCAACAAATTTTTTAAATTTATTTATAACTCTTTTAATAGGTATATTCTTTAAAAATTAATTATAATTCTCTTGAAATTAATACACACGTTTCCCTAATTATTTAACTAATTTTCTTCTAAAAAATCCATCTAACTAAATATTTAGATCAAAATTTTCAAAAATTAAAAATTTTTCAAATATCTTTAAAAAACATAAAATTTTTTCTATAGAAAAAAACTTTCTTTACATCACCGTAACGGCTCAATTAGTGATGGCCCAAATAGTTATAGCGCTTCTGCTGGATGTATATGGGTATTTGAAAATTCCGACAAAAACCAAAATGGAAGCACTTCTTCATTATTATTTAAATTAGATGATTTCTTCACTGAATGTTGTTGGGATATGCTTTATATTTATGATGGTGATGGGGTTTATGGGGATTTACTTGGAGTTTTTAGGTTTTTTTATAAATTTATTGGGAAATGAGATGAATTGATATATGGTCCCTTTCTTCTAACAATAAGGAAAATTTTACAAGGAACCATATCGAACTGTGACTAAAAATTTCGTAATAATTTTTATATTATCGTGTAGAGCAGGGTTGATCTCCTATTGCCAATTTTTTGCTTTTTCGGCCCTTCACCCCAAATCGAAAGTTTTAGGGCTTCAAAGTTCCCATTTTCAATTCACATCCTGCTCTACACGATGGTATAAAAATAATTACGAAATTTTTGGTCACAGTTCGATTGGTCCCTTGTTAACATTTTTTTAAATCTTGTCCGCAAATTTTATTCTAACTTGCGGATTTCTTTAAAAAAACTTAAATTTTATCAGATTTTTATTAAAAATTTTTTTTATAAATTTTCAGTGGAAATTTACAAGGCCGTGAAGTACTTGCTAAAAGTGGACAAGCAATAGTTTATTTTGCTAGTGATTTAGCTTTTAACTTGCCTGGATTTAATATAAGTTATTATTTGAATGATGAAAGTGAAAAAGAAAATAATAATTGTTTGTTGAATTGTAGTGGGAATGGGCGGTGTAATGAAAATGGGATTTGCATATGTAATGAAGGTTTTAGTGGGGAAGCTTGTGAACATCAACGTTGTTTGTCAAATATGGATGGACAGATTGGGCCTTGTAAAGTGAGTAGAAAAATTTTTTTTTGGGAATTTTTGTTTAAATTACAAAACTGTTCAGTTCAATTCTTATGGCCACCGTTGATTTTTAAATGTAAAAATTAATTTTCCTTGAACCTGCTTTTCTCAAGGTTTATAGATGGAAAGTTTCAAATATCTAAACGCCCTTCCTATCAACCCTAATTAACTTTTTGCGAAATATTTTAGATATCTAGATTTTACCACTAAAATTAAGCTTTGTACAAGAGAAACCACTCATGTCAAAAAATTATGATTTATCTAAACGTATCATATATTTTCCCTATATTTCAACAATTTTAAATTAACCTAGCATATATTTCAAATATTTAATAATTTAGAACAAAGCATTCTGTAAACGAAATAAATGTGAGTGTACAAAGCACACTCATGGTGATCGTTGCCAAGAACTTTTATTAAATCCAACTTGGGATATTGTTGTGCCTACATCAACAAACATTTCAACGACAATTTTTTCTCCTCGTGCTTCTCACAAATCTGTTTTGTTTGGAGACGATTTGTGGATTTATGGAGGATTAACTTTAAATCCAACTGATTATTCTTTAGCTGATTTTGTTGTTTATAATGTTAAGAAGCGCTCTTTTCATTCAATTCCTCAAAAAGATGAAGATGGAAATAAAAAACCTTTACAGAGATATGATCATTCTATTGTACATTATCAGGTTTGAAAAATTTTTTTGGCAAATTTGATTTCTATCTTGTTTTTATTGCTCAAGGGTATCCTTTAATTAGCGACGATCCTTGTAGGATCGTCTGCTTAGCAGACGATCCTTATTCAAGAGTAAAAATTTAGATTTAGGAACGATATAAAATAATTTTAAAAATGTTGTTTACCTCTTAGAATAAACTATACATATTTGGTGGAGTAATTAATCAACGAACAGTTACTAATGAATTTTGGGAATATAATCCAAAAAATGGAAAATGGACAGATTTGTTTTCACATGATGATTCAGTTCAGGCTTTTCCTCTTCCTGTTGCTGGTCACACAGCGCATCTAGTTGGCTCGGAAATGCATGTTTTATTTGGATATAACCCTTATGAAGGGTATTTGTATATTCCACAAATTTATTCTTTTGGTTTGTATTAAAATTTAATTTTTTGTTAAAATTCTCTTTAAGAAACCAAAAAATGGCGTCGAGGCGAAATAGATTCTGCAATTTTGGGGCGTTTTGGACATTCTTCTGTTCTCTTTACTGATCCAAATATTGGAGAAATGATTCTCGTTTATGGCGGTTACAACGCTCCTTTAAGTAGTTATACTTATGCAATAACAGATGAATTGATTCTTTATAATCCAACAAAACAAATTTGGTTTGAAATTAATTTTTCTTCTATTTTTTACCATTTTTCAATTTAATAGGACACATTTGGGCAATTATGGCGTCCCTCTTTTTCGACATTCTGCTGTACTTATGGATGATGGTGTAATGTTGTTAGTTGGGGGAAATAGCCACAATGAGTCTTCTACTACACGAAAAAATGATTGTTATTCTGGACAAGTTCATGCTTTCGATACTGGTTGGAATTTTTGAAATTTTTGAATTAAAAAAATAAATTAAAAAATTTTCTAGTTTGTAAGCGCTGGCTTAAAATCTATACAAATGAATTTACACAAATCTCTCGTTATGGACATGATGCATTTTTGTATAATTCTAATATGTTTGTGATTGGTGGTTTTAATGGGGAAATGCATAATGATGTTATTAAGTTTACTCCTGGTTAGTTTTTTTAATTTTATTCGGTTAATTCTTTAATTTTTACAGCAAATTGTGACAGTCAAGCACGTGATGAGGAAGATTGTGAAAGGCTAGCAAATGGTGTTAGATGTATTTTCTTCAATAAAACATGCTCTAAAACACTTCCAACCACGTCTTTGCGTCATTCTTTTCTTCAATCAATTTTAAAAGGTGACTCAATGTTAAATAGTGTAAACGACGCTGTTCAACAACAAAAATATTGTCCAACTCATATGGATAAGTGAGACTGACACATTTATTTCTTTTTATAAAAATATTTTTAAAGAGATTCTTCAACTTTGGATTTAAGACAACAATGTTCACAGATAATAGATTGCTCCAGCTGTTTGTCAGAAAAAGGATGTGGTTGGTGTGAGAGTAGTCAGGTAATTATGAAGATTTTAATGGTCACCCTGTAATTAAAATTTAAATTAAAGTCATGCCTCGGTTCTTTCACAAATTGTGTTGATGGTGGACTTTTAACTGATCACGCTCTTTGCCCTCAAAGTATTAAGCAACGAAGGAAGGAGATTACAAAACAATTGCGCCCTTGTAATTTGGCTACTAATTGTTTTGCTTGTTATAGATTAAATCATTGTATTTGGTTTGCAATAGATGGAAAGCAGATTTGCGTGTCTTTGGCTGACCAAGGTGAATTTTTTTGAAGAACACGTGATTTTGAAATATCATTTTTCGTTTAGCTTTATTACTTGAAGAACAAACTCGAATTCAAATGGAAAAGGCAACAACTTCAAATACACAACAACAGCAACAACCATCTACTTCAATTACAACAATATCACAACCTTCATTACTTTCTTCACAATCTCTTAGCAGAACAGCAACTCAGGATGTTATAGTTATGCCACAACAACTAAAACATTCAACTTCTGCTCTAATAGAAGGACAAAATCAAAGAAATGGTACTTGCTCTGTTCCTTGCTTTTTGAAAAATAGTTGTCAGAGTTGTATTGAAGCACAATGCATGTAAGGAAATTTTATATATTTTACTCTGATATTATTTTTTCCTTCCAAAAATAGGTGGTGTCCAAGTAATCACCGCTGTGTTTCAATGGATACTTACATGATAAGCTTTCCTTATGGGCAATGTCAAAGTTGGATGACTGCAGCTAATACAAACTATGCATGTCAAAATAATCCTTTCGCGTGTAAACAACAAAAAACTTGTTCTGATTGTCAATCTATCGGGCCAAGATGTGGATGGTGTGATGATGGGTAAAGGAATTTTTATTTAGAAAATTTGATTTAAATTTTAGCTCTGGAACTGGACTTGGAACATGTATTGAAGGTTCAGCATCAGGTCCACGGTTCGGAGAAGGTTGCCCAAGTGAGAGATGGTTCTTTACTGGAGAGCCAGGTAATTTTTTGGAAGAATAATATTTTAAATAATTTTCCTTTAAGATTGCCAATGTAATGGGCATAGCACTTGTACTGAAAATTCAACTCATAAACGTTTCCGTTGTACTCGTTGTAAAGATAAAACTCGTGGTGAACACTGTGAACAATGCGAATCTGGGTATTATGGAGATCCTAGGAATGGGGGAGAGTGTAAAGGTTTTTAATTTAATTTACTTTTTTTTGATGTAGTAAAATATTAATTTTTTTAGAATGTCAATGTAATGGACAGGCAACACTTTGCAATCCGGTATATTTTTTAAAATTTCTTATGATAACAATTCAGTCATTTTAAAGACTAATGGAGATTGTTTTTGCTCTACAAAAGGAGTTCTTGGCCCTCGCTGTGATAAATGTGAACCTAAATATATTGGTGATCCAAAAAATGGTGGAACTTGTACATGTAAATAAAATTCCTAAATTTTTAATTTTTTACAAATTAAAATAGATGAACTTGCCATTGATTTTATTTTTACTTTTAAATTGGACAGTGATGATATACGTGATAAATATGTTAATCAAATTAATTTCTTCAGTGTGCCATTTAAGGTAATTTTATTTTCTAAATTTTGATGAAAATTAAAAAAAGAGGGTTGACAATTTTTGATTGAATAGGATAATTCCTCACAAGAAAAAGTTTTTTTTCTATGAAAATCCCCGGGTGCCTTAATTTACTTTCAAAACATTGTTTATTTCAACAAATTTATTTTCAAAAATTCTTTCTAAACAAATTTATCATTAAAACATTTTTTTATTTTAGAGAGATACAGATGTCCAATTTACAGTAACATGTGAAGGAGATTCTGGGGCAAAGGTTACAATTAATTTAACTTCACAATCATTAGAAGGAGGGAATCAACCTTTTCATGTAAAATATTTAATGGCCGGACAGTTATGTACAAGTACTGGAATTAAAAGAACTTATAGTTCTTCTGATCCAAGTATGTCTTTTTAAAAAATTAAAAAAATATTCAATTAATTCAATTCAATTGATTCAATCAATATCAAAATATTCAATAAAAAAATATTCAAGTAATTGTACAAATTAAAATTAATTTTCTAGTAAAAATAGGGTTATTAAAATTTTCTATGTTAACAGAAGATTTAAGTTATTAAAAAATTAAATTTTTTAAAAGATTTTTCATATGGAACTGATGCCAACACAACATTTAATGTTAGAATTAGTGATTTTGTTACTCCTATAAAGGTAAGAAAAATTTTAGTAGATTTTAAAAATTTGTTTCAATTTTTTAAAGATTCAAATTTCATTTGCTCAATCATTACCTATTAATTGGATTCTTTTCTTTGTTATTTTTGCTGCGTAAGTTTAAAAAAATATTTTTTTAATTTTATTTAATTTAAAAGTTGTTTTATTGTTCTTCTTGTTGTTGCCGGTTTAATTTGGATAATAAAAATGAGAATAGAATGGTACAGAAATATTAGAAGAAGACATGATGAAATTGAAGAAATGGCTTCACGTCCGTTTGCTTCTATTCAATTAGATTTGGGTGGAGATTCTATGAAATCGGTATTTGAAAGAAATTTGGATTTTTGATTCCTTTAATATGCAGTTTAGTTAAGATCTGAAAATTAGGATTTATTTTAGAAAGAATAAGTTAATCAAGCAATTTTTAAAAATGATTTGGATCTAATTTCTAAAAAAAATTTTTAAGCATGTGGATCCGTGCGCGGTGGAGCCTTGTTCAAATTATCAAGCGGGTGTTTATACAGTTATTGTTAAATTGCCAACTGGAGGTGAGAGATAGGGGAGGGGGTTATTTTTAAAAATTAATTTTATTTAAAGGCCAAACATATACACCTTTTGGAACCTCTGGATTAGCAGTAGCGTCAGCATTGTGTCAACTAACCTCAGCACAACTTGCACTTCTTCAACCACCAAATACTGAAAAAAGGCCAAAAAGAAAATCAAATCTTAAACGTTTTATGCCTTTCATGTCGTGATATTTTTTTGTTATAATTTTTTTAAATTTTTTTGTGGCCATTACTCTGCATAATTTTTTGTGTGAATTTTGTATTTTTGTTTGCATTTTTATTCTATTCAAATATGTGTACTGTGTATATTATTTAATTTTTATTTGTAAATTTTGAAAATTGAAAAATTAAAATGGTTTCTTACTTTTCTAGATATTATTTTGATATTAATGTAAAAATGGGATTTTAAAATGACTTTGTTATAATTGGACCCCGAACTGAGTCCAGGTTTTATTGTCACGTGATGTCAAAAGTATTCCCTCCCCCTACACCCGCAAATTCCAGGAAGCTCCCAGTTTTCTTTGGGAATTATGAGTTTTCGTGCGATAAAGCATACGCAGAATTAACACTAAAACTTCGAGGTGGACTGTAGTTGGTCGTATTATGGCTATAAAAGCAAATTTTCTCTTTCGAGAAAATACCCCTTCCGTCAGTAATATAACTACACTTCAAAACATCCGTCGTATTATTGCCCAAGCCTCGTGTTACTCTTGTTCTCATCAGTCACACAATGTTACTTCGCTACCAATGCAACAAGGACAGAACCAGCTCGTTCAGTGAAGTGATGGCTACTGCTCTGATGTTGGTGATGTTGCTTCAGTTGGGTCAGTTTTTCTTTCAATTTCATTTTACGTTTCTAATTTAAAAAATTCAGCAATCTGTTTGTGTGCAGCTTCTGAAGAGGTCGAGACTACTATGGATGGTTATAACCCGAAATTGAATGACACTACTACTGTGCCGGACAGAGTGAGTACAAATGGGGTTTTTTATTCTTAGGCGGTCCAATCTTAATCGTTTAGAAACTGGAAATGGGCCTTTCGAATAGTTCTGCAAACATTTGTACTTTTCCTTAATTTTCAGGTCAAGCGAAACCCGCCGCCAGCACCCAGTAATAACGACAACTCGAAATGCGTCAAGGATCCTGCACAAATTCATGGTAAAACTTTCGTTAGAGAAAAAATCTAAATTTTTTAAATTCAGAAAGTACGCGTGGAATTGTGGCTTTAGGCTCGATCATTGCCTTTATTCTCTGCCTGGGTCTGATGCTCGCGGTTGCGTGTGGATGTATATGCACGGAAACAAAAATGATTGATGTGGAGTGAAGAACAAATAGAGGAGAGAATATAAATAAAGATGATTGGAAGTCATAAATGTGAGTGCATATATAATAAAATAGTAATATGTATATTGTGTATTGTATAATTGTATATAATTGTTTGCCCCTAAACCTGGAAAAATTTTTTGTATTGTATGTATTGTTCCCGTTTTTCATAAAAAAACATTTGGAAAACCTTAGTTGATCAGAAAATGATTAATAGTGAGGAAGTGTCTTTGTCAATTTTCAGCACTGAAATGGTTGGAACACGCCCGAATAATCGCGCGGCCATAAGGTCGCCAATTCACAACTTGCTTTAAGATTTCCGAATCTTTCCAAATTTAGTATTAAACGATTCCTCTCATCGAACTAAAGAGGTTGGTACCAAAATTGATAAGGGCCAGAAATTTTTTAGCAAGTTCTGATGTAAAGGCAAAATAGTATGTGGTCTGTGTTGGACTTTTTTCCTTCCACCTTTTTGCTCGCATTTTTGCAAATTTCTTTGTTACGTATTTTCATGCGCGCACTATAAACCATATAAAGGTCGAAATAATTTTTTGAATGTTTATTGGAATTTATTTTTGTTGATTTTTGATCGCTTAAATTCGTCTTTAGGGAAAGATAACTGTTTTCTTAAATATTTTGTTTATTTTCCTCTTATTTACCATTTTTGCAATTTATGAACTTTCTTCCCATTTCTTGTTTACTAAATTTTCTTAAAAAGCTTTTTAATATTTCAAAGATTGTTTTCTTTTGTTTACTAGATTTTTGTAAACTTTCCAAGTGTTAAATCTTTGACAGAAAAATTAACTTTACGAAGAAAACCCCCTATATCAAAACCCCCTCCCCTCTTCAGTAAATTGCCTAAATTGTCTTAATTTTATTTTGGACATTTTAAATTAAATTTTGGTTTTTTTTTCTTGTTAAAAACGTGATGAATCACATTTTTTAACAAAATTTTTTAAAACAAACATTCCTTTTATGACTCATCATAGCCTTTTGCAATGCTTTTATTGCACAGTTTATGGAACCGAGGATTTTTTGGGTTTAGTTCCTGATAAAGTTAAAAAATAAATCAATTAATAAAACATGTCAAAAAATTTATTTGAAATTTTTAAGGATTAAAAACATTTTCTTTTTCCCAATTAAAAAGGCAATGATTTAAAGGTCAGTAACTTTAATACACTTGAGAAAGAAGAGGAAAATATTTAAGGATTAAATATGTTGTGTGGTCTGTGATTCTATTTTTCTAATTTTTCCTCAGCCTTTTCCCCATTATTTCCTATATTTTTAATTAACGTTTTTGTAATCGTTCATATATTTTTTTGTCTTGAAAAATTTATTTAATGTTTTTTGTTATTTTTCAGGGTACCGTTAATAGTTGAAGGTCTGTGGAGTAATATACCACAAGGGTCGTAGAGAACACTTCATTGTGCCGTCTGAGGGAGCCTTCTAAATTTATTCTGCACGCATATTTTTGTATTAATTTTTTGCCGTTTGTGCCTAAAGAAAAGGTTTAAATTTAAATTTTTATATTTTTTTAAATTTTTACTTTAGGGAAGAATGTCGTTTATTGATGATTTTATTTATCGTAGAGGCATCCTCCTGAATAGTTTTGTTGATCCAAAAGAGGAGGAGCTTGACACGGATGATCTTGAGGTTTTGTATTTAAAGATAATTTTTGGGTTGGCATGGGTTGGTTCTGTCAGTTGTAGGGAAGATTTTTTAGTACGGGCAATTTCTAATACTCTTTTACTTTTAACTTTTCTAACACCGAATTAGAAACTGAAATTATTTTTTAGATTTAAATGGACCCCTTTTTTAAGGTTGCACTGATTAACGAGTCTTTCGAGGAACAAATGAAACAACGTGAGCTCTTCAGTAATAGCGACCTCAAGTCTTTGTTCTACAATGGTAAGCAGACTACAACGGCAGCATTTTTAAATAATGAGCAAACGCACTCACAGAAGCACAAGGATTCAACGGATTCTTCTTTACTGATAAAAATATTACCGACTAGTTCTCCAATTCGCTGGCCTCATATTACGCCCCATTCAGGTTTTTTTCTACCCTAGTTTTAACTCTTCATAAATTAGTTTAAAAATTACTCCAAAATTAGATCCAAGCTTTAATTATGTATTTCTCTACTTTTATTTTTAGATTTTGATGACTCGGAACGCGGCCGCCAACTAGACATGGAATTGGGACGAATGATGCTTGAAGGGGAGGATGAAGAAGAATCAACATTTATGAGTTCTTTTGACGACAGCGGCTGCAAATCAACTTCTTTGACAAAATATTTGGATAAAAGTGCGGATGGAACAAGCGACGATAAGACAGAAGAAGCCGAAACTTATATGGACAGTAAAGAAGATATTTCTAAAAAATTACCTTCATCTTTGAATTCTGCTTCGATACTTGAACAAATGGCTGCTTTTACAACGCCGGCAACAAACACACAAAATTACAATATTTCGTCGCTAACTTTTTTGCCATATCATCATATGGCCGGAGGTTTCTTTTCTTCCTCTTCATTTGAATCCGCGACGTCTCAACAGGAAGATGAAGTTATGGCGGCTGCTTGTGCTGATGCTGCGGAAGCTGTTTGTTTTTATTTTTTAAGATACATAATGGTTGGGATAAATGTGGGTTGGAAACGGAGAAAACTAAAATGTACAAAGCATGGAATAGTAGTAAAGTTAAAATGTAGGCCCCAATACCCAAGACCTCAACTTTTTAGATCCCAAGACCCAGGATCTCAACTTTCTTTTTCTCCTTATGCCTACCATCATTCGTTTTCTCTTTTACATATTTCACGGTCTTCAAGACCGAGAAAACCTCAAGAAATGTCATGGAATCAAGACCAAGAGTCAGAGATTTTATTTGTTTTAAATTAATATTTCCAAAAATATTCTCTAATTTAAGATTGCAAATGATGTAGTCCAATCTTTGTTTGCCGATGAGCAATATACTCAATCTGAGTTGGGTTTAACTGACGATGAGGCTGAAGATGAAGAAGAAGAAAAATATAAGAATAATAATTTGGCAATGACTTCAACTGCTATTTCTCTTCATTCAACCTCTCCAAATAGTAATTCTTTTTCGTCATGCTCTTCTTTTTGTGAAATCAACAAAACTAACGAAAATGACTTAAAATTTTGAAAGTAAAAAATTCTCTGAACGAGAAAAAAAGGTAAAAACAATAAAAGGTAAAAAATATATAAGCAACCCATAATTGAATATTCATTCATTAAATATATATTTGTTTTCTGATTTGAGAGAAAATATAACTTTTCTGAATATATTAATTTTTAATTTTTTGTGAAGTTTATGTGTGTTAGAGAAAGGCCCATTTCCTTGTTTCAGTTTTTTAGTTGGAATATCAATCCTAGGTTAATAAACCTTGTATTTTTGATGGAGAATCCACTATTAAAATTTTTCTCAAAATAAGTGAAGATTTAAAAAAATTAAATTTCAAGAATTTTTAAGAAAAAAAACAAAAGTTCTCTCAACACACATAAACTTCACTCATTCTTGCTTATATTTTCCTTTCTTTTTTATTATTCGGCACCACCAATACCTACATATAAATATTTTTTTAAAAGCACAGCACAAAACACAAGTATTCGCTTCGTTCGAATATTTTTCAGTTTCTTGTGTTTTCCTCTCTCTTTTTCTTTCTCTATTCAAATTTACTTGCTGGACACAATCACCAATCTGCTACTTTTTGGGGAGTTTTTTTAAACTCCCGAATTTTGTGTGTCTCGGCCTTTTTTTTAAATATATAACCAACTTTTTAAAACTAGTTTTTTTTGTAACTACTTGCACTATGATTTTTTTATTGCTGCGCAATTAATTTAAAAAAATTTTCATGCTAATGAGCATGATCTTAATAAACGACCACAACAAACATTTGCGCATTAACTTTCTTTGAAATTATAGAAAAATATTCTTTGGCAACTGTCTATTGTTATAATTGGAGTCTTTTTTGAAATTGAAAATTTTTTTGGATCATAGGATGGTGAATCTGATATTTTTTGGATCTAAATAATTTTATTCAAAGAAAAGATTTTTAAAAATTCTAATCAGATTTACATGTTTTGACTTGAATATTTGATTTTAAGAATAATTTTTTGAAAAGATCTCAATTATTGACAATTTTATTAAGGATTTGAGAGAATTCTTTGTATTCTTCAGCTATTCTTTTAAGGCGAAAAAATTTTTTGGTGCATCGTATTTATAACTACAAAAACATTAATTTTTAAAAACAATTTTATACGATGCACTTCAGTTAAAAAATTAAATTTTAAATTTGGGGTTTTTTGTTCAAGTTATTTGTATTATAAAAAGCACATCCAGAAAAAAAATTTTCAAGAATCGGAGGAGAAAAATTTTTATTTAGGGCTTGAGAGACAAAAACTTTTTGAGGGAATTTTCTGGATGTGCCTAAAAATCTGATTGACAATTTATTTTTTTAAATTTTTGTGTCGGTCATTGAAGCTATTTTTAAATTTACTGATAAAATGTAAAAAATAATCTTTGAAATTGATCAAAATTTAAAATCAAAAATTAACTTCAATGACCTTTACACTTTATGCGCGAACATATATTACATTCTTAACGCGTCATACTTCGTTTGCGAAAATTATTCAGAAAAATTCAAAAAAACGAATACAAACATTTTGTTTTTTTTTCCATTATTTTATTGTTTCCACATTTTTTTCTGTGGTGAATAAATTTTTTTGGAGAATTTGGATTTTATTTGTTTTGTGACTAAACAATATGAGAATATTTTTAATTTTAAATTAACTTTAAGTTTTATTTTGGTGGAAAACTAAATACTACAGGTCGTTAAAATCGCAATCCTGAAAAATCCTGCGCAGGATCCTGTCCTGCCCCGACCTCTACTAAATACCCCCAACAAGGAATTGTTTTTTCTTGAGCATTTCTTACAGTATTTTTGGGTATGTACTATAGTAGGTCCCTCGTATAACAGGTTTAGTTTGATCAATCCTTGTACATAGATCAACGTTTTTCGTTCTTCAATCATAATTTTCACAAAAATCTTTAGAATATATTTCAAAAGAATTATTTACTTTCACAGATCAATAGATGAAACATTAAAATTTGTCCTTACAAACGAAAACTTTTCTTTTCTTCTGATCAACATTTGTCGCTCTCATTTTACTCTCCATTAAGCATTTCTCATGTGTTCTCAAACATAACTTTAGCTTTAAGATTATATAGGAGAATATGCGTCATTTGTTCTACTTATATTTCATATTTTTTTGTTTGAAAATTAACACAAAGTCACTTTATCTTTTTTTTTTATTTAATTTTTAGTCTTTCATATTTTAATTTTAATCGATTTTTAAATTTCTTAAATACTGAAATACATAATTTTACATATGTCATTTATTCAAGTTCATTCGTGGGTTCGGATTTTTCTATTAGGTCTTTTAAAACGTTTTTTTCTTATTTTTTTGTAATTTCTACAAAATTTATTTTTAATTTTTCAAGTCTTGCATTATCTTATAAAGTGCCTAAAAACCCCATAATCTGCCTTTTTGGCTTTATATTTTCTATATTTTTCCCATATTCTTATTTAAACAACATATTTTTGACTTATAATTTAATATGACATCGGAAAGTGAAGAATATAAACACGGTTAGGTTTATTTGAAAAAAATTTTTTTTGAATAAATTTTATTCAGAATTTACATTGCCTTCGCTGCCACGTACTACTAGAGGTTTGCCATTACCTTTGTCAGCGAGTCCAGATGGAAACAAATTTGTATATTGTGCTGGCAATAGTGTATTTATACGAGATGCTAATGTAAGGGAATTTTTTTCTTTTAAAAATTAGTTTTTAGCAAATTTTTGATTGTGATGTCTACACAGAACACTCAACACTTACACAAGTTGCAAAATATGCCCCGTCTGGATTTTACATTGCTAGCGGCGACAAACACGGAAAAATAAGAATTTGGGATACTACACAATCGGTTTGGGAGTTTAACTGATTTTTTAAAACTTTTCTTTTTTTAGACACATATTTTGAAAGCAGAATACGCGTTAATCAACGGTCCCATTCGGGATATTGCTTGGTCAGAAGATAGTAAAAGAATGGCTGTTGTTGGGGAAGGGAAGGAAAGGTTTTTAAATATTTTTAAATACAAATTTTTTTTCAAGATTTGGACACGTTTTTCTTTTCGATACCGGTACAAGCAACGGAAATTTATCTGGGCAAAGTAAAGCTATGACTGTTAGTTTTTTTCAGATTTTTTTTAAATTAAAAAATTTTAGAGTATTGATTTCCGTTGGACTCGTCCCTATCGTCTAGTAAGCAGTTCAGAAGACAATTCAGTTGCTATATTTGAAGGACCCCCTTTTAAATTTAAAACGGTTATTTTTAAATAATATTTTTTTAAATTAAAATTTTTTTAAGCTCTTCCATGAACATACACGTTTTGCTCAATGTATTCGTTATAATAAAGATGGGTCAATTTTTGCAAGTGCTGGGGCTGATGGAAGGGTTTTTATTTTTTGAAAATTTTATTTTTTAATATGAGCCCAAAACATGAATTAATTTTTAAGTTCACTTTTAGTCAAACCAAAAATTTCAATAAAATATTTTTTAAGGTAATTCTCTTCGAAGGCACAGAAGGAACCAAGATTGGAGAACTTGTTGACAGCAGCGATACTGCCTGTAAAGAAGCTGCTCATTCTGGAGGTGTTTTTGCTTTATGCTGGAATTCTGATGGAAAACGGCTAGTTACTGCCTCTGGTGATAAAACATTAAAAATTTGGAATGTTGCTGATAAAAAGATTATTGGGTTAGTTTTTTAATGTTTTGTTAGTGGCCTTTTAAATGGCCTTACAAATAAAAAATTGGTTTTTTTCTACAAAATTTGTTTTTCAGAACAATCCGTTTTGGCACAACAGTCGACGATCAACAATTAGGTGTTGTTTGGTTACGTGACAGAATCGTTTCTTGTTCTCTTTCTGGATTTCTTAATTATGTTGACCCCGAAACTTTAACAATTACAAAAATATTAAAAGGACATAATAAATCAATTACGGCAATGGCTTTGGCTAGTGATGGAGAAAATGTATTTACTGCTGATTTTGAAGGAAATATTAGTAAGTAGTTTTTTGAGAGGGAAAAAATATAAATATTTATTTTGTTCAGCCCGTTGGAAGTTGTCTGATGGCTCTTCCGAACGTTTAACGCCCACAATTCATAAATCTCAAATTTCTTCTTTAAAATTATTAAATGATGGAACGCTCATTTCTACGGGTTAATATCATTTTTTTAAATTTTATTTTAAAATTTATTTCAAGGTTGGGATGACACAATTGCCTTTACAGAAAAAGCTTTAAATATAATTGGTAAATTAAATTTCTAAAATTCAAAAAAAAATTTTTAAATCTCAGATAATGCCCAACCAATTTCACACAAATTAACTTCCCAACCTAGGGGTGTTGATTCAACAAAAGATGGCAAAACTGTCGCTGTCGCAACACAACGTGCAATATTAATATTTACAGATAAAAGGCTATTGAAAACAAATGAAATTAAATATGAAGGAATGTGTATTGCAATATCTCCTGAAGGAAATCTTTTGGCGGTGGGAGGAAATGTAAGGAGTTGAGAGGAGGAGGGTTTGACTAAATTTTAAAAATTATTTTTTAAGGATGCCAATGTTCATGTTTATGCTCTTTCCACTTCTGACAGTTCTTTAACCGAAAAACAAAAATTATCTCATGGCGGTGCTTTAACTTCTGTAAATTTCAGTCCAGATGGAAAATACCTTGTAGCAACAGATATTGCTAAAAAAGTAAAAAAAATAATTTTCTTTATTAAATTGTAAATTTTAGGTAGTCCCGTATAATGTAAATAATGGATTTAAAGTTGCTTCAGAAAAATCTTGGTCCTTCCACACAGCGCGTATCAATTGTTCTGCTTGGTCGAGTAATAGGTTATTAAATCTTTTTCCTCATTACAAATATTTTTTCCATTAATTTCTAGTCGTTATATAGTCACCGGTTCTCTCGACACAAATATAATGGTTTGGGATTTGGAACAAAGTGGAGAACATCCTTTACTTATTCGAGGAGCTCATCAAATGAGTGCAATAAATTGTGTTGCTTTTTTGCCTGATGGAAAAAGAATATTAAGTGTTGGACAAGATGCCAATATTCGTGTTTGGAATGTTAAATTACCTATAAAACCTTCTTAAAAGAAATTCTCTTTAAAAATAAATACTTATTTTTTTAAAATGACTAATTAAAAATTTTCTTTAAAATTTTCCCTGTAACCCATATTTGTACGTGAATCTTGTAATGATTATATAAATATTTACTAATTAATATATCTCAAGAAAAAAATATGCATTTTACTGTGTTTTTTGTGTATTTGTATGTAAACGTAGTTTATACGTATTTATTTTATTAAAAGGGAACTGAGTAATTTTTAAAAACTATGATTATGGTATTTATAACATTATAGAATGAGATTTGGAACTTTGATGGTATTGCGTATTGGTCCGGTCACCGCTTTTTTTAATTTTAAGAGAAGCATTTAGGGCAAGACGTATTAAATACACCCAGATGGATTCTTGCCCTAAAAGCTTCTTTAAAATAAAAAAAAGCGGTGACCGAGCCACGCAAAAGCCATCAATTTTCCAAATCAAAAAAATCATGTCATATGACATAAAAGATTTTTTTGACGGACTACATAGAAACGATAAATTTTGGCTCAATAAGGAGGGATGGACTTATGAATACCCGAATCTTAATAATATTTTGGTCCTATTTGTAGAAATATATAAAAGTTTTTATATTATTTTTAATTTTTTTAGTTTTTAGAAATTAATTTTCTTTAAAATGAGTGACAATTTACAAGGTGTTAATGATGATTTGGCAAGTACTTTATGTTCTTGTTCTACTATTGATTGTGAAGATTCTTTAAATCGTATAAAATTATTGGAGGTAATTAATTAATTAAAATTATTTTTATTTTATTTATTTTTTAGGTTGAAAAGGACAAAACAAATTTGGCTTTTCAATTAATTTTGGCTAAACTTGATTTGGTAGGGGGTTTTTTAATTAGGGTTATTATGAATTTATGCTCTGTGTGCTTCTAGCGTAATCTCTCTCGAAAATTTTGATAACTAAAGTTTTGAATAAAATCTCGCCTTAGTTTCCCTCGGTCTATAGTTTATATTGGGAAGTTTAAATATGTATATGTTAGTTACGTTTTTGGGAAATTTTGATTCCAAAATATATTTCCTATGCTCTAAAATATCAGATTTTCCAGAGTATTGAGAGAATAATTAATCTTTTTACAGGGACTCTATCATGATCAGACGATTATTAAACAATTACAAGAATTGAATGAGAAAATGGGTGGAAATGTAAAAAAATAATAATTTTTTTTTAATTTAAATTTAAAAATAATTTTAGGAAGGAATTTTAAATTTACAAAAAATGCAATGTTTTGAAAATAAAAATAAATTGAAAATTGAAGTTGAAAAACAAAAAGAGGAAATTAAGGGTTTGGAATCGGATAAATTGGGAAAAGAAGCGGAAATTAAAGGTTTGAAAGAAAATTTGAAAGAAAATAAAAATGAATTGGATGATTATAAGAATAAAATGGTTAAATTGGAAAAAGAACGTCTTTTGGCTGAAAATGAATTATTTAAAATTAAAGAAGAATTTGGAAAATTAAAAGAGGAAAATAAAAAGATAGTAGTAAAAGAAAAATTAGAATTATTAAAAGAATTGGAAGAAAATAAATTAAAAATTGAAAAATATGAAGAAGACAAAAAATTGGAATTAATTAATTTAGCTAAATTGAAAAATGAAAATGAGGGGATTTTTAAAGTAAAAAATAAATTATTGGAAGAGAATAAAATTAAAATTATGAAAATTGAAGAGGAAAATAAGAAATTAACCAAAAAATTGAAGGATTCTGAAAATTCAATATTTCCACTTCGTCATGAAATTTCACAAAATAAGAGGAAATATGAGCAAGCTATTAAAGTAAATTTATTTATTTTATAGTGCAAATATTGTAAAAATAAATTTTATCTTATAATTTAATTTTAGCAAGTTAAAGATTTGGCAGAAGATCGAGATGGACAAATCAAAACTTTAACTGAACGTAATGCTGCTTATAGTGATGCTAAATATGAAGCGGAGAAAAAAGTAGCAGTTTTTCCTAATTAATTTAAATATTTAAAGGCAAAAGAACTTTTGGCAAAAAATGAACAATTACAAATGGAAAATAAAGATTTTATTGCAAAAATTCAAATAAAAGATGAGAAAATTCGGTCATTTGAGAAGGAAATTGAAACGGTATTTTTAGTGAATAATTTTAATTAAAAAGTCTTTACAGCTTGTATTATAACTAGGGTTGTACCCCGTCCCAGAAAGTCTGGGAATTTGAGAGATTTTTTGAAAATTCCCCATCCCCCCATGGCAGGCCCGAACACCCCGAAATTTTATGCAGCACTAAAATATTCTCTTCCACTTTGATATTTCTTTTACTTAAAATCAGTAAGAGAAATTTGTTTTCTTTCAACACTAAATAATTAAGCCGTGGCTTAATTATCTCTACCAGTTGTTTTATCCACCCTGTCTTTTATTTTAAAGAATATTTATATTTAATTAATTTAATTGTTTTTAAGTGGAAACGTTTAAATGATTCTCGTAAGAACGAATTGGATAATTTAAAAAAAGAAAACGATAAACAAATGGTAAGTCTTTCTTTAAAATTGTTTGTAAAAATTATTTTTCTTACAGTTTTTTGTCAAAAGACCAAATAAAATGTGCACAATTAAAGAAGATTCTTGTTGTGAAAATAAATGTATTAATTCTAATTTATTTGATGGTTATTGCATTAAAGGGAATGGATTTGTTAATGTTTATGAAGATGGATGGATACAATATAGTTATAATTGGATAGGAGAAAATAACTGGATTTTTTTATATGGACAACATCCATATACAAAAGCTGGGAGTTATGGGAGTGATTATTCTTTATTTTATTTTGAAGTGAAAATATTTAAAGAATTTAATTATAAAAGGTATTCATTTAAAAAATTTATTTTAACCATTTTAATAAAGGTTAAGTTTAAAAGGGGTGAATGATCTTATATGCTAATATTTAGAGACGGCCTTGTATTAGGTATTGGCCAGCGTCTTGGATTTTTTGTCCTTTTGGGGTTTCCTTGCCAAGACTAGGTTAACAAAAAAATTTCCGAAATTAAAATTTATTTTTATGTCGTTCGCAGCTGTACCCATAACCTAAAATCCTAATTTTGTTATTAATTAATTCCTTTCTATAGTTTGAAAAATATCTTAATAAAACATTTTTTAGTTGTTATGCTGGTATTGGCTTTGATGTTCCTCATGCAAAAATATTTTTGAGTGATTCCACTCATGATTGGGAGAAACATCAAAGATTCGATTGGGTAGATGGAGATGTTTTTGGTTGTGGAATTGTTTTTCCTCCAAAGAATGATTTGAAGACAAAGGCTTATGTATTTTTTACGAAAAATGGAAATAAAATTGGTGAGGAGAAAATTTAATATTTGTTCAAAAGTCAAAACTTTCTTTGGTTTTAATACATCTCAGTTTCCTTTTCTTAAGCCACAAATTTTTGATTTCAACATAATTTTCGGTACAAAACATACAAGCGATTATAACCTTGTCTCAACTTGTTAGATTTCATTGATTTTGGTGTCATTTGACTCAACTCGACCTTTTGAATGAGCTATTATTTGCATATTCGAATTTTTGACACCAAACATGAAAATCCCCGATGGTTTTTCGATTTTTTCGCATCTAGAGTGGTAGCATTCGACTGAAATCGCCGAGACGAATAGAAGTTATGTGTTTTGTATCGAAATTTTACTTAAGGTACACTGCACTATTTTTTCCTTTAATATTTTTTATATTTAAGAATTAACAATTTAAAGAAAATTTTTTTGAATTTTCTTTAATAAGAATTACTTTTTTAAATTTTTTTTCAGGAAACAATATTTTACTTAAAAATGATAATGTTAATTTTTATCCATTAATTGGACTTTTGTCGTGTTCGGTGGAAACTAACTTTGGAAATGATCTCGAATCAAAGCCTTTTGTTTATAAGATTGATAATTATATCAAATGAAGAATTGATTTATGAATTTTATTTTTTGATTGATTATTTATTTATTTTTCTTTGATTTGATTTAAAAATTACAAAAAAAAATATTTTTATTTAAATATATACAATTAAAAATAATAATTAAATTTTATTTAATATCTGAATTGTACAATCCTTAAATTCTTTTTAGTTTTTAAAATTTAGTTTTCTTCAGAATGAATGAAAATATACAAAATTCTAATGATGATTTGTCTAGTAATTTATGTTCTACTTCAACTTTTGAAGATTCTTTAAATCGTATAAAATTATTGGAGGTAATTAATTAATTAAAATTATTTTTATTTTATTTTTTAGGTTGAAAAGGACAAAACAAATTTGGCTTTTCAATTAATTTTGGCTAAACTTGATTTGGTAGGGGGTTTTTAAATTAGTGACGGATTAATTAGTGATATTTTGTGTTATCCACACTCATTTTAAATAGCTTTTAATTTTGAAAAACTGGTTAAAATCTAATATGAGTCCTCACTTTTAAATTCAGTTACATTTTAACAATAACTCATTAAAAAACTGGTTAAAATCTAATTTTAATTACCCAAGTTTAAGTTTAAGTTTAAGTTAAAAGTTAATAACTTATGGAAATCGATAATTCATCTAACATGTCAACACCGCTAACTATTAATGGTATTAACAACAAAAAACTGAAATTACATCAATTATCTAAAAAATTGACTAATTTCTCTGAGCAATTTTCAAAAGATATGCCACCATGGGCGGCAGCAATGTTAGAAATTTGTAATTCAGTAATGGAATTATGTAAGGATATTCTTACAAGTGAACAAGAACAACAACAATCAGAAACGAATCCTAAATCTTTATTTGGAGACCCTTTCTCTGCTAGCAAAAAACATCAAAATTCCTCTTTTAATGATCAATCATATTTTGCCAACATATTAAACAACGCTATTCTTGATGCTGACGAAATTAAATCTAAATCTAAAAGAGTGGTTATTGAACGTGCTCCAGACAACACAGACATCATTAATATAGCTAAAAAAATTGCGGCTGATTGTGGAGTGGCAGAAGATTTGTTGGAAAACGAAATTCATCGTCATCCACGTGAGTCTAAAGATGTTATAAATAAAAAACCAAGAATCGTTAAAATTCCATTCACCAACAAAAAATCTAGGGATAACTTTTTATACAATTTTCGTAAATGTCTTAAGAAAAATCCAGCTTTTCCGCAGTTCATAACTGCAAGACGTGATATGACTCGTAATGAACTAAATATATTGTATAACTTGCGAAAGCAAGCATTTTCTATGAATCAGGCCGAGAACATGTTTAAGTACATAGTTGTCGACCTGTCAATAATTACACTCAAAAATCCACAACCGCTCAGGGCAACCAAAAATAAATAGGGACACGCAGGCAAACCGCAGACAAAAGTAAATAACGGAAATTTTCAATCATATAAATGTTTGTTATTTAATTCTAGATCCCTAGCTAATAAAATACCGGATTTAAATCAATTAATCGAAAATTCTAATCCACAAATTATATTAATCAATGAAACATGGCTCACAACAGAAAATACAATAAACTCCGAACTATCACATAGGGGCAATTATGAGATTATATTAGCTAATAGAATAGGAAAAAGAGGTGGAGGATCGGCAATCTTATTAAAAAATGACATACCATTTAAAATAATTTTTAATGGCTCTAAATTCCAATCAGAGATAATACATATAAAATTATTTCTCAAAAAAGAAATTAACATTATAAACATTTACCGCCCACCAAATAGTTCAATTATTAATACAAAAAAATTATTTAAGTTTCTTTTAAATCTAACTGATCAAAAAACAATATTATGCGGAGATTTTAATATTAGACACATAAATTGGGATTCTAAAGAATTAACCGACAACTATGACAAGATCGCGAATATGTTTTTAGAGTTTATAGGTCAAAATCAATTAAATCAACTTGTTACTGAACCTACTAGAGAAAATTCAATCCTGGACCTGGTACTCACACCTGCTTCCAATTTAGTCAGAAATGTTTATGTTAGGGAGAATTTTTCAACTTCCGATCACAAAATGATAGAGTTTGAGTTATATGATCAGATCAAAGTCTTTAGAAAACCAAAAATTTATGTCAGAGATTTAAGTAAATCCAATTTTAATAAATTGAATCAAGTTATTTTTAAGAATAATTTAGATCTAGGTATATTAACTAAGTTCACTGTAGAAGATAAATATGATTTTCTGACGAAAGAATTGTTATATCTTTATAACAAATATATACCAATGAGAACTTTGAATAAGATAATAAGGAAAACATACCCTAAACGGATTAAGGAATTACACAAAGAAAAACTTAGATTATTCAGAGTCCTTAAAGAAAGAAAACATGATCACGAGTTGAAACTTGAGTATAAAATCGTTTCAAGAAACTTGAAAAAACAATTAAAAATTCACCATAATACTAAGGAAGAAAAAATAATAAATAAAGGTGGAACTTCGATACATAAGTTTATTAGAAACAGACTTACCCAAGATAATAACATACCCTGTTTAATTGATAAAGAAAATAAATTTTACTTTAGTAATGAAGAAAAATGTAATATTTTAGGAAAAGAATTTCAAAAAAACTTCCAAAATAAAAATATTAATCTATCGAATTATAACAGAAATATAATTCCGAAAACAAAATTTTTAGACATAGATTTAAGTACTAGCATTGTGTGGGATGTCCTCAGATCACTTCCTAATCGTAATTCAACTTCTCCAGATAACATTCCTTATATATTATTAAAATATTGCGCTGACACACTTGCAAAGCTAATCACAGATATCTTTAGATGTATTATTGATAATGGGCAAATTCCATCAATTTGGAAATCATCATTTATTATTCCATTGTATAAAAAGGGAGAAAAATCAGATCCAAAAAATTATCGTCCAATATCGCTAACATGCACCTTATGTAGGGTTCTTGAAAGAATTATTGCACAGCAATTAACAAAATTCTTAGAAGATAATAAGTTCTTTAATAAAAATCAATTTGGATTTCTTAAATCAAGATCCACAACCACACAGTTATTATCTACCATGGATGATTTCTATAATGCAATACAAGATGGATATAGCATAGATATTATTTATATAGACTTTGCTAAGGCATTTGACACTGTACCAATAAATATTCTTTTAGATAAATTAGAAAAGGCAGGCATAAGTGGAAAAGTTTATACTTTTCTTAAAAACTTTATATCGGATAGGAATTTCAAGATTAAGATAGGTGACCAATTATCCCAAAACTATGAAACATTATCGGGTGTACCTCAAGGAAGTGTCTTAGGGCCACTTTTATTCCTTATTTTTATAAATGATCTTCCTAATGAAATCCCTGAAAATGTTGGAGTAAAACTATATGCAGACGATGTAAAATTATATATAGCTCATAAAAACGGCATAGAAAGAGATCAACTTAATAAAGCTTTATTTAAACTTGAAAAATGGACAGAAGATAATGGTTTAGAAATATCCCCAAATAAATGCTATGTTTTATATTTAGGTAAAAATAACATGAAAAAAGAGTATAGCATTCATGGATTAAAAGTACAAGAAACAGAATGTATTCGTGATCTTGGAGTATTAATTGATTCAAAAATATCATTTAATAACCATATAAATATGATTATAAAAAACGCATATCTAAAGAGCTTCCAAATAATAAGAATAATTAAATCTAGAGATTTAAATCTCCTCGTTAATATATATAAAACATATATAAGATCCCAACTGGAATATGCAACTGAAGTATGGAATCCACAAATGAAATATCAAATAGATAAAATCGAAAAAATCCAAAAACTATTCACTAAAAATATTTACAAAAAATGCGGCTTAGTTAAGGTCCCATATGAAGAAAGATTAATTACCTGTAAACTCGAAAAGTTAATAGATAGAAGAAAGGTTGCCGATCTATCCACCGCCTTTAAAATTATAAAAGGCTTTACATCTCTTAATTCCCAAAAATATTTTAATTTATCAAATAGATCTCTTCGCAGGCCTCTACTTCTTAGGACAAAAAAATATATAAATAGAACAAAAAATAATTTTTTTCACAGAGTGGTAAATAACTGGAATAATCTTCCAAATGAGTCATTTAAATTAACTGATCCGAAAAAATTTAGAAGTTTTATTAAACAGTATTTTAATGATAAAGTAAAATACTAAAGACATAAAACCCTAGCGTGTGTGTTTTTTTAGAGTGTTTTTTTACTATTTTCTTATACATATTTTTTAATTTTTTTAAATTTATTCATGTTTTTGCTTGTTGTTTTTTCACATATTTTTTCAATTTGTATATTTTTTTATGCACCACTTTAATGTATTTTAAAATACCTGTGGTTTGCTGATAAATAAATAAATAAATAAAAAAATTTTTTTAAATAATAGATGTCAAATAATTCAACAAAACAAGAAGGAATCTCTCCAACGCTTGAGAATCAGACAATAATTAAACAATTACAAGAATTGAATGAGAAAATGAGTGGAAATGTAAAAAATAATTTTTAAAATTTTTATAAAAATCTAAAAACAATTTCAGCAACAAGAAGAGAAAATAAAATATTTGGAATTGGATAAATTGGGAAAAGAAGAGGAAATTAAAATTTTGAAGGAAAATTTGGAAGAAAATAAAAATGATTATGAAAATAAATTGGCAAAATTGGAAGAAGAACGTGTTTTGGCTGAAAATGAAATATTTAAAATTAAAAAAGAATTTGGAAAATTAAAAGAAGAAAATGAAAAGATTTTTGAAGAAAAAGTTGAATTATTAAAAGAATTGGAAGAAAATAAATTAAAAATGGGAAAATATGAAGAAGACAAAAAATCGGAATTAATTAATTTGGGTAAATTGAAAAATGAAAATGAGGGGATTTTTAAAGGAAAAAATGAATTATTGGAAGAATTGGAGGAATATAAAATTAAAATTATGAAAATGGAAAAATGTAGCAAAGAATCAACCAAAAAATTGAAAGATTCCGAAAATTTGGTATTTCAACTTAAAAATGAAATTTTTCGAAATAAGAAGAATTACAAACAAAAAGTAATTATTATTTTATTAAATTATTTTTAAATTAGATTTTTTTTCATTTTAAATTTAACTCTTAAAAATATCTAGCTGTACAGATATTGCTAGCACAAACAATCAAATCTATTTAAAAATTATTTAATATTAAAATTTAATTTTAGAAAGTTAAAGATTTGTCAGAGGATCGAGCTGATCTAATGGAAACTTTAAATGAACGTACTATTTATTTTAACGAGACTATATATAATGCAGAGAAAAAAGTTTATAATTTTTTCTTAGTTTAATAATTAAAATATTTAAAGGCAGAAGAACTTTTGGAAAAAAATGAACAATTACAATTTGAAAATAAAGATTTTATTGCAAAAATTAAATTAAAAGATGAGAAAATTCGTGCATTTGAAATGGAAAGCGAAACGGTATTTATTGAATAATTAAATAGAGAAGTTTAGCATTTAAATCTGACCACAAAATCAAATTACGGTCTCAATAATTTTTTTGAGGATAAGGAACGAATTCGTAAAGCATTCCTTGGAACTTATTCCTTATCAAGTTACTTCTTTTATTGTCCTGTCCGTCCTCTGATTTAACAAATTTAATGCTTACCTTCTTATTAAAAAAGTTAAAATATCTGTATAAATTTAATTGTTTTTAAGTTCAAAAGTGTAAATGATTTCTTTAAAAAAGAATGGGATAAATTAAAGAAAGAAAATATTAAATATATTGTAAGGATTTAAATTATTTAAATTGAAATTTTAAAATTATTTTCAGATATTTGTGAATAAACTTAATAAAATCAACACAATTAAAGAGAATTCTTGTTGTGGAAATAAATGTATTAATTCTGATTTATTTGATGGTTATTGCATTAAAGGGAATGGATATGTTAATGTTTACGAAAATGGAATGATTAAATATAGAAATAAACTGCAAGATATTTTTGGCTTTCCAAGGGAAAATAAATGGATTTGTTTATATGGGCAACATCCATATACAAAAACATATATTAATTATGAAAATATTTATTCTTTATTTTATTTTGAAGTGAAAATATTTAAAGAATTAAGTTTAGAAAGGTAATTATTAAATAATTAATTTTAATAAAGTTAAGTTTAAGACGGGAATGGGTGATCTAAAATATTTACTAATGATTATAAGTTGTCCTGGTCTTAGGCTTTAACTAGTTTGCCGAAATCGAAACCTATTTTTATGCTGACATGATTACTAGTCTGTGCCCATAATTTTAAATTTGAATTTTACTATTAATTAATCCTCTTTTAACCCTTTTTTAAATATGTATGTACTAATAAAAATATTTTTTACAGTTGTTATGCGGGTATTGGATTTGAAGTTCAAAATGCAAATATATTTTTGTGTAATTATTCGGATATTAATTGGGGAGATTATCAAAAATTTGAATGGGAAGATGGAGACGTTTTTGGTTGTGGAATTGTGTTTCCACCAAAGAATGATTTGAAGACAAAGGCTTATGTATTTTTTACTAAAAATGGAAAGAAAATTGGTTGGTTTTTAATGTTCTGGTTTTTCTTCAAATATTTTTCAATATAATTTTGTACAATTTAAAATAAACTTTTCTTTAATCTTCTTCAAATATGATTATTTAAAAAAAATTTTTTTTTAATTTTTAGGTAAAAATATTTTACTCGAAGAAGATAACATTAATTTGTATCCATTTATTGGACTTTTGTCTTGTTCGGTGGAAACGAATTTTGGAAATGATCTTTTGTCAAAGCCTTTTGTTTATAATATTGAAAATCATATTATTTAAAGGATTGATTTATGAATTTTATTTTTAATTGATTATTTTTTTGAGTTGATTAAAATTTTTTATTTGAATTTAGAAATCATTAAAAATAACAATAATTAGATTTTATTTAATATTTTAATTGGACAATTCTTAAATTTTTTAGTCTTTAAAATTAATTTCCTTCAGAATGAGTGAAAATATACAAAATCCTAATGATGATTTGTCTAGTAATTTATGTTCTACTTCAACTTTTGAAGATTCTTTAAATCGTATAAAATTATTGGAGAGTAGTAAGTCCCCCACAAATGTATCACTTGAGGGGTCCACTGAAAAAGCCTGTGCCTGAGGTGCGGTATTTTTTCTTTGAAGAAGCCGCCAAATCCGTGCCTAGAGGGCACTTTTTGCGCGAAAAGTTAAATTTTGGTGCAAAACCCCTCCCTTTGGGAGGGGTTTGGATTAATTTTGCGCGAAAAAACAATGTTTTGGCGCAAAACCCCTCTTTTTTCGGGAGGGGTTTATAATTTACCGAACATTAGGCACAGGCTTTTTTCAATGGCCCCTCGAGTGATACATTTGTGGGGATAAAAAAATTACAAATATTTATTTAAAATAAAATTCTTTAAAAATAAATTTTATTTAAAATTTTTTAAAATGAATGCGGAAAATGATAGGTTTGATCATTTTCTGAAAAACGCCTAGGAACGCCCCCTATTTTTTAAAAAAAATTATAAATATTCAAAATATCTTTTCAAAGGTTAAAAATTAGTTTAACAATTTATTTTTTTTACAAAAGACTTCAAAAAAATTCAAAAAAATTCTTTCAAAAAAATTCAAAAAAAATTCAAAAATTCTAAAAAAAAGTTTTTAAAGGTGAAATGAAGCAATATAAAAGGGGGCATATTTTGTAAACTATTGTCATTATAAAAATTTATTTATTTTTGTAATAAATTATTTTAAAATTAATTTTAAATAAATTTAATAATGAAAGAGCTTATCCCAATTGTTTCCTTTTCTGCTACTACAAACGGATTAACAATATCATCCCCTAAATTAAATACTCCACGTTTTGTTCCCTTTGATATTTCTGGAAAATGTACAACCTGCCGAGCAGATGACGTGGAAATTGATTACGTCATTACCATAAAAGGAATTCATATTATCAGTAATAGACTTAAGAAGGAAAAATTTGTCGCTTTTGATATAATCGAGAGATATGGAGAGACCAACGTTTTTCGCTTCAAAACACGTAGAAAGGTTTTCAGTATACAAGTTGACAAAGAAAAAAATCTATTCCGGACTCAATCAATCAACGATGACTTTTTCAATTTACAATGCGCAACCGGAAATGGAAATTCCTTATTCCGATCACAATCAATTATTGACGAATATTTGGAATTTCCACCTGAAAAAAGATTGAAATTGGAAGAAAAGGAAAATGCAGAGAAAAATTCCAATGAAGGTATCGTAAAAGAAGATAACAAAGCAAAGTCAGACGAAAGTGAAAATATAATAGAAAAGGAAGATGACAAAAAGTCAGCCGGAAATATAGAAGAGCAGGATGACAAGAAAAAATCAGAATTTATAGAAGAGCAAGAGGATAAGGAAATGCCAGACGAATGTAAAGAAGAAACAATAGAAGAAAAGGAAATTTAGATAAATTAATTAGATACTTTGTTTTCATTTTTTAAAATTTATTTTCACTTTTAAATAAAATATGTTAAGCCAACTTGAATTATATCAAACCTATTCCAAAAATGATTTGAAATTGAAATTACCTTTTGGATGTATAGTTAGCGCGCCTAGTTCAAGCGGAAAGAGCACTTTTATAAGAAATTTAATTAGTGATGCAAAAGAAATGATTGACCCACAACCTAAGTCTATTCTTTATTGTTACGGAGAATTCAGTTTATTAGTTTCTCAACTACAAAGAGATGGAATTTCGGTGTATTCGGGAGTTCCACCAGAAGAATTAATAAAAAAGCAACAAAAACCTTCGTTAATAATTCTTGACGACCTTTTATATTCGATTGATGAAAAGTATCTTTCTGAACTATTTACAAAAAAGTCACACCATCTTGATTTTGGAATTGTCTTTGTCACGCAAAATTTATTTGAAAAGAAACTAAGAGTTGCTCGTCAAAATTCGATGTACTTAGTATTAACTCGAGCTCCAAACGGCGCACTATCTATCAGAAATTTGGGAGTACAATTATTTCCTGGAAAATTGGAATATTTTCTCGACGCATATCGACAGGCAACGCTTGATAAATATTCATATTTATTTATCGATATTCACCCATCTTCCGACACAACACTGCGACTTAGAACAAATATATATGACTTTTTGAAGCAAAAAAAAGATTCAGATAATTTTGAAACTACTATATTTTTACCAAAATCTAATTAGTTATTAAAAATGATAAGTCAAATAGTAAAAAATAATTATCAGTTCCTTAACCAATTATCAAAAACGAGATCAATAAGAAAGAGAAAACGTCTATTAAAACAAGCATCTATAGAACAATTGCTTTCAATTGCTGAAATTTGTCTAAATATTGTACGAAATAAATTTCAACTAACAAAACGACAAAAAGGTCGATTAGTGCCATATGCTGATTTTGTTCGTCGCATTAGTCGTGTAAGAACAGTACGCGGTGCACGGAGAATTGTCATACAAAAGGGCAGCGGTCTCCCCCTAGGGCTTTTTCCAGCATTACTTACACCAATAATAATTGAATTATCAAAAAATATTGCATCAAAATTTTCTTCAAATTAAATGGCTAATAAATTTATCCTTGTCCCAGAGGATATCTATCGAGGATTATTGACTCAACCATCTTCAGACACAGGAAACATTAATTTGGATTATACGCGAAAAAATTTGGATATTATTAAAAGACAACACGAGAACGATGAATTAAAAAATATCAATTACAATCAAGAATTACGTCGTTATCTACATATGCTAAAGGAGCAAAATCAAACACCAGCAGGCGTAGCCGTTCGTAAAATTGATAACCCAGCCCTTGATCAGATAAAACAATTATTGCCCCTAATTACTCCTACACAAAATGAGAATACAGCTGATTTAAATGTTACAAAACCATCGATAAATGATGAGGAAAAAGTAGTTACTGAGGACTCTATGTATACAGCAGATGAAGGGAGTGACGTGGAAACACCCAAAACTTCAAAGACACCAAAATCTAAATTAACTCAAAGGACTTCAATAATATATCATTTCATGAAGAAAAATTTTGAAAAATATAAAGTGAATAAAGAAGATAAAATTTTAAATGAGAAAGGAACAAAAGAAATTCTAGGAAGTAATGTTAAAAAATCCCTTGATTGCATAATACGCTCGGATTTTACTGGAAAGCATAAATGGAATGGAGTTTCACCGCCTGGTACTACTATTCTAGAGAAAAGATTGAGAAATGATCCCTATATTTGGCAATTAATTGAAAAAGCTAAAACACCAATTACACCAAGACGCATTACTCAGCCCAAAAGAATATCTCAAGGATTCAAATCAAAACAATCGTCATTATTTGAAGGAGAATGGAGACAACCAGAAGAGTGGATATAATACTTGATCGGATTTATAATGATCCCGCAAATCCCGCTGGGTTTGCTGGTATTAATCAATTATGGATAGAGGCAAAAAAGAAGGATAAAAGTATAAAAAAGAAGGATGTGATTGAATATTTAGAAGGTCATCGTACATATACAATTCATCGCCCTAGACGTGTGCGGTTCAAAAGATCAAGGACTATGCCTGCAGGTTATATGACAGATGTTCAGTGTGATTTGGCCGATTTTCAAAAACTATCTCGGCAAAACAATGGTTATAATTATGCTCTTGTTGCAATAGATGTCTTGAGTAAACGTGTTTTTGCAGAACCTGTACGAACAAAGAAAGGAAAGGACATGATCCAGGCATTTGAAAGTATTTTGGAAAGAATGGAAATGCACCCTCATAGAGTTTTCAGTGACAAGGGTACAGAGTTTACAAGCAAGGAAATGGCTGAATTCTTCAAAGCGAAAGACATTGAAAAGTTTACACCGAATTCATCAACAGTCAAAGCTTCTCTTGCCGAACGATGCATCCGTAATATAAAACAACGGCTTTATAGATACATGAGTGAGAAACATACATTAAAATGGGCTGAAGCGATACATAAGATAGTGGATGCAATAAATCACTCAAAATGTCGTGCAATTGGAGGATTGAGACCAATTGATATTAGTTTTAATAATGCAAGAAAAATAAGAGAAAAAATTTATGGACGTATAGGCTCTAATATAAATCGAAAGAAGACCCGATTTCAAAAGAATGATTTTGTACGCATGAGTCGTAACAAAAATGTCTTCGCAAAAGGATATCTACCTAATTACTCTGACGAAATCTTACAAGTGGATCTTGTGAAAAATAGAGCCAACCCCAACAGATATCGAGTTAAGGATGAAAAAGGAGAAAATTTTGAAGGATACTTTTATCCTGAAGAGTTGACAAAAGTGAGAAAAGATGAAAATACAAGTTATAGAATTGAAAAGATTATCAGTAAAAGAAAGAAAAAAGATGGAAAGAAGGAATATCTTGTGAAATTCTTCGATTACCCCAATCCAGAATGGATAGATGAATCACAATTTGTATAAAAAATTTTCTATTATTAATTGTAAATCATTTAATTTAAAATAAAATTTGATAAATATGGAAAATACTTTTTTTGTTGTATTACCTAGTAATGTTAGTGATTATTCTGATAATAAGCCTAACAAATTCCGATCACATTTGGCAAAACCTATTCAGTTTCAAGGAGGAAATTGGGTATGCGGTTTATATAGTATTCAATATCCGCAATCGTGGGCAGCTACAATTGGTACAGATGAAAAACAATGGATAGAAATCAATTACAAAAACAAAAAGACATTCAAATTTGGTATCCCGAAAACAACACAATTAACTGCAAAAGGCTTGGGGTTTTTTCTTAAACTAGTACTTGCAAAAGTCCAAAAAGAGGAAGCTAGAAAGCGCAGAGAGGTTAATACTTATACAGAAGATGATATTCAAAAAGATTCCCCTATTAAAAAACGATTCAGAAGAGAAAAAGAAATTAGCAAAAATCAGACAGACACTGTTCAAATTGAAGACTGGCTAGATGAATTTTTTATCAAGTACCCGAATTATTGGGATGCTATTAAAGATTTTGAACAAGATTTAAAAAAACATAAGTTAAGTGTTGAAGAAAAAACAAAACAAGTTATGAATGAGAACAACACGGAGCAGAAATCTGTCTTTGAATCTCAACTTCAACATTTGAACACAATAACTGAAGAAAAAACAAGAAAATTTAACCTTTTAACAAATGAGGCCAAGAAAAGAGATGAGCTTGATAGGCAGGCAAACCAATCACAGATGATTGGACAAAATGAAGAAATAGAAAAAGAAATACAAGAAGAAGAGAAACAATATTTTTACTTTGATGAGGAACAAAAAGAAGAGCCAATTAAAGAAAAATCACAAGTAATATACGAGGAAAATGAAGCGCAAAATCAGGATTTATATAGTGAAATTGAATTTGAATATTTGGAAAGTATCGATCGATTTCGCGCACAGTTTAACAACCCAGAAATCATCTCAATAAATATTTCCCCACAACTTTGCTATGTTCTAGGATTTCCCTTGCAGCCTATAAAGAATGAGCAAATTGGAAAATACGGGATTGACCTAAAAGGAGGTTTTACAAGTTTTGCAGTGTACTCGAAAGGATTGACCAGCAGTGTAATAATGGGAAATGCAATTAGTTCCTTATTAAGGATTGTCTCTGTTGAAAATAAATCGGGAGGCGTCATAGAGAGAGTCTACGATCACCCAATGTTTATCCCTGTCCAGCCAAGAGAAATTAATGAAATAGAAATCGAATTGCGATGGTTGAACGGAAGCCTAGTAAAATTTGATCATGGAACAGTTATTGTGACATTAATGTTTAATAAAGTTTTAAGATTTTAATTTGTTTCATATATCATTTTTAAAATTATTAATAAAATAAATCATAAATTTATTAGTTTTATATCTAAATATGGTACATATTCCTTTTGACACTAGAGAAATTGGGTATGATGACCATCACGAACAAATCCAAATAGGAGAAGGAGGATTCGCTTTGCAAAACGATGGATCCTATTATTTTCGTGGACATGGGCCATTTCAAAGAGGATACGGACGCCAAACGGGTGGAGGAGTTGGTGATGTACTGCGACATTTTTGGCGTTTCCTTTTACCATATGCTCGTCGAGCCGGAACAGCCGTAGCTAAAGAAGCTTTAGATACGGGAGGAAGAATTTTGGAGAAAGTTGAGAATTCTGCATCACACGAAGGAGGAAATAATTTAAAAAGTACCGTCATAAACGAAGGAAAACGTGGATTAGATAGATTATTAGAGAGAGGGGGGCTGCCAAAACAATTTGGAACGGGGTTGCGCCAAAGAAAAAATAGTATAAAAAGAGCCAGAACAAAAAATCAAAATCATTTGCCATTAACAACACAAAATAAAAATCAGATATTAGTTGGAAAAATCTCAGCAGATACACCAAAAAAGAAAAGAAAGAAAATTGATACATTTGGTTTATATTAAAAATGTCAATTCACCACAAAATTGATCGAGAATCAGCAAATGCAATCACTAATGCACTTTCATTTTTTGAAACACCAAATACAAATGTCAGCGTAACTAATTCATCAGTTATTGAACTCCTTACACTTAACCCAGTAAATATCACTCCGTACCACTTTAAAATTCACGCAAGCACAAATTACATAGATTTAGCAAAATGTTACGTGTTTATTGAACTAAAAATCCTTAAAGAAGATAAAGATGGAAGAATGATTGATCTAGGAAAAGATGATAATGTAGCTGTCTGTCAATTAATAGGCCATACTATATGGAAAAATTGTAGAGTGTCAATAAATGGCACACAGATATTTGAAGGAAACTCGTTAATGGCCTATAAAAGCATTTTTGACTATGAACTCACATACCCACAAAGTGTAAAAAATTCTTATCTATCTGTGGCAGGATATTATGATGATGGGGACAATCAAACTGAGACAAAAGTCGAAACGGTTGGTTATGGATACAAATCAAGAAAGAGGTTGTTTTTGGACGAAAATGGAAATCCCTGTAGCGCCCAGTTCATGTCAAAATTGGATGTAGATATATTTAACCAGCCACGATATCTGGTAAATCAATGCGAGGTCGATATTGAACTCTTGCCCAACGACTCAAATTTTTTGCTGAATACTCCCATGGAAAATGCACCTAAATATCAAATAGAAGTAATCGCGTGCAAACTTTACGTTAAGAAAATTGAGCTGATGGATAGCTTAGCATTTGATATAGCGAAAAAATTAGAAATAAAACCTGCTCGTTACCCTATTAGAAAAACTTCATTAAAATCACTCTTCATAAGCGAAAATCGGACAGAATTCAACGCGAACCTATGGATGGATCAAGTACCACGAAGAATCATATTAGGAATGGTTGATAATAAAAGCTTTGTTGGTATTCAGAAACATTATCCCTTCTATTTTCAACATTTTAATTTGAGAGATATTTCAATAACAGCCGGAGGAACGGTTTTCCCGGCATCGCCTTATTCTCTTGATTTTTCAAAGGGAAAGTACTCTCGAATATTTCATGATATGCAAGAAGCAATTGGGTATGCAGGTACACTCGAAAGTAATGGCATTTCTATGGAACGATATGCTAAAGGAGGATTTTGCTTTTTTGTATTTAACTTAACAAATAGCCAGGAGGATAATGGCCCCGAGACATTTGATCTCATTAAAAATGGTACAACAAGTATTAAATTGACATTCAACGAACCAGTTCCTTCAGGGGGAATTGTTCTCATTGCAATGGGTGAAGTAGATTCATTGTTAATGTTAGACAGAAATAGAACAATTACAAGTGATATATCAGTATAAAAAATCCGAATTTAATTTACATTTCATTTAAATAATTAAAAAACATTAGTAATTACTTTTTTGTTAGTAAATATTTCAATAATTTTTTATTAAATTTTTCATAATGTTAAAAAATCTGACTATCTCTAATAATGATAAAGATATAAAATTTGATATTTTGAATAAAATGAATAAGGAAATAGATTTGCCATTACCATGCAAGGAAATAAAAGACAATTACGGAAATTACAATTTTTACTGCATTGCACTGATTTTACTTTGGTTCATGTTGATAGTGTCCTCAGTGCTTTACCAATTAAGAGCTATTATAAACATAAAAAATAAGATTACTCAAATACCAAATAGTGTAAAACCAAACGACGATAACAATGAACACAACGCAAATTGAAAAAATATTGTTTCAAAATAACATTACAAGAAGATTTTTCGTAGGATGTTTTGCCGCAGATAAAATACCAACTGATATTACAAAATTTCCAGCTTCAATGATAGTTAATCTTGACAGAGCAATTAATGAGGGATCTCATTGGATAGGACTGTTTGCATTGAATAAAACAACAATTTATATACTCGATTCACTATTAATTCCAAATTTGCCTTCAACCATAAATAACTTTTTGTCAAAATTTCCAAAACAAATAAAAAACAAAATAATACTACAAAGCCCTTTATCAACAGAGTGTGGACAACATTGCATCGTATTTTTGTATTTCATTTCTCTAGGATATACATTTGAAAAGTATATCCATATCCTAAATTCTTATTCAAATCCCGATGAATTTGTACGAATAATTGTAAATAAACTACTTTATTGAATTTAAATTCGATAAATATATTAAAAAATAAGATAAAATTTTAAAAATATTAAGCTGAAGAAGATACAGTTTTTAGGGGTAAAAGTGCATAATTAATGAAAAGAAGAGGAAATTTAAGAAAAATTAAGTAAAACTAACAAAAAATCAAATATTACTTTGAAGAAAAAAGCGTAATAGTATGTTTTTCCCACATTTTTTTATCATTAACATATAGCCAAAGGATTCCCCGCTTGAGTTCATCAGATGCTTCAGTTGACTGTTTTTCTTTAAAAGTTGAGTTTGTAGAAAAAGAATCTAAGGATTGAACAGATTCGGACGACGATGATGCTTTTTTTCGAAGATTTTTCATAATGATTGGTGAATCAGAATCGGACTCATCAAAATCTTCCACTAGATCGAGAAGTTCAAGAGGGTAGTAACAATTTTTGAATTGAATGCATGGATGAAATGGATATTTCAGCATAATTTTGTGCCTAGCATGGAAATATGCGCTTACGCAAATATTGAAAGGTTGCTTAAGATTTCCATAAGCCATTATTTGATGAGAACCGAGTGAAGAAATTCCATCACAATATATTATTTGTTTTTTTCCATTTCTATCTAGATAATTGGTTTTTAAAGCCTTTCCTCTTATTTCATTTAGGACTCGATCTCTATCACAGTTATTTGTCAAGCGTTGTCTGACATTATCAATTGTACAATCTAGAATTTTTGAAATTCTTTCAAGGAGGTTTGACATTTTTTATTAATAAATATTCAAAAATAATTATTCAAATTTAATTTAAAATGAATGAATACAAAGAAAATGATTCGCTTTTATATCTGATGATTTGTGATAACATAAATATTTGCATACCACGCCCATTTTCTGAGGTATAAATATCTGAATTTTGGAACCCAAAACTTCATTCTTAAATAATTTTAAATAAAATTTGAAAAGATGTCCACTCCTAATTCTCCAAAGACATCAGATACTGAGTCTAAAAATGTTGAAGTGATAGAAATCATGGATGAAAATACAGAAGTCAAGGAGAATACTGGGACAATTGATGTCTGGCTAAGTAAAAAGTCAGCACAAAAGAAAACGAATTCGAAAAATCCTACAAAAGTATCTACAAATAGCAAAATGTTGTGGAAATTAGTCAGAATGAAATACATTCCTCGGCTAGAATTTAGAATTTGTCGCACATGTTCAAATGTACTTTTTCATAGCACAAGTCGCGTGACTGAAAATCAAGATGGGGGAGTAAAAATTAGCTTTGATCTTTGCAAACAGTGTGTTCAGCTCAATATGTTAGTAAAAGATGTGTTATGTGATTGGGATATAAAGAAAACATCAGGTGGACAAGAAATTCAAAACCAATAAAAAAATTTTTTAATCACACTATCATATCTAAAATATATTCAAATTTTTCACTTTATTAAATGGAAATAAATATTTTGATTTAAAAATTTTTAAATATTAGGTATAGTGTTAAATATTTAAGCAAAAAATTTTCAAAACTTTTTTAACTTTTAAAACTTTAAGCTTTTTAATTTTTTTAAACTAAATGTTAGAAAAATCGGCACTAATAAAGAAAAGAACTTTTCTTTTACTTTCACTTTCAACTTTATTTCATTTCCTTCTCAACAGACAAACATATTTTCACTGATCAGATCACGTTTAAACGGCAGTTCTTTGAAGCTAGAAAAGAATTCATTTCCCTTTTCCTTTTTCCTTCCCCCGACTGGCAAACATTCTTTCACTGATCAGTTCAAATTTGAACGGCATTTCCTTGAAGCTAGAAAAGCATTCATTTCCCCTTTCCTTTTTCCTTCGCCGACTGGCACATTCTTTTCACTGATTAGATCAGCTCTGAACGGCAGTTCTTTGAAATAAAGGCGGAACTTTGTGGCAATATGCTAATTTCACCGTTTATAAAGCCAAATGATAGGTAATTTCTTCATATTAATTTAATTTTCCCAGTTACCCTTTTAAAATTTTTTAAATTTTTCTTTAAAACTTTTTTTTTTATTATTGAATTTAAATTTTAGTTTTTATTTATTAATTTATAATGATAACTAGTTCTTCCGAAAATCCCGTTTACGAACTCGTTATCGACGAGGTCGAATCTAACGGTAAAAAAATTTTAAAAAAATTTCATTTAATTTAAAAATTTATAGAAATGGATCGTGGGTGGCCTTTTTCGGCTGATCGTGGAGAAAGAGCGAGAGGACTCTCGCCGGATGTTCATCATACGCAACTCCGATTAATGGAATTGCGAAGAGCCGAATTATTGTCGACTCCAAATAATGATCCAATGATGGCTCAAGGAACTTCTGCTATTGCTCCGTGGGAATGGACTCCCGAAAACCGATATGCTGATTGGGTTCCACCTGAAAATTGGAATTGGGAATCTGGAAGTTCATATGGTAATTTTTCTTTCAATATTTTCGGGGGCTGAGATGGGGGTATAAAATAAATAATTTATATTTTTTTAGTTTCTACACCGACACATATTCCAATTGGACTTGCCGAAGAAATTGTGCCTTGGCAATTGCCTCAACAATTGGATGATGGTGTTTCGTATGAACTGCTCGCATCACCTACACCACCACCATCACCTACACCACCACCAGTCTATATGGATTTGGATGTGTTCAATTTTGAAAATATTGCGCCGGCTCAACAACAACAAATTGAACAGCAACAACAACAAATTGAACAACAAGAACCGACACCACCAACAGAACCACCAACAAAAAAGAGGAAAACTACTACTCCTCCTGTAAAACATGCGTCCGATGTTTGCATCGGATGTTTGTGTACACAGGAGGAGGTCAACATAACTTTTGGCCCAAGTGGTTGTTCCTGTGTTAACTACTGTGCGGACTGTGTGAATGATGGCATTGAAGAGAAGCTGGCGGACATGTATGACTGGAAAAGATCAGTGGATTATGATCAGATTTTAGGAGAATTTCCACATTGTGCTTGTTGTAAAGCGGAATACAATCGTTTGGTTCGACGTTCGCGTCGAACCAAACGTAGTAATCCGCGATTTTTTTAATTTTTAATGTAATGTTAATTTTTTATTATAATTGGCTTTAATTTTTTGTCAAGTAAAAATATTTGTTGTTTTTTATTTATTGAGTTTTAGGTTAAGTTTAAAGCTTAGGTTAAGCTTGAATTTTTTATTTAAAAATTTAAATTAAATTTGCATAGGAAATCGCTTACATTTTATCGTAATTATTCATAGTTCAAACTTGATTTGTCTTTTTATACATAGGTAACTTCTCCATTACTTATAAATAGACACATTCCTTCCCCTTACTTATTCATGACACATTCCTTTCCCTTAATTATTCATAGTATTTGAAATGAAATGGCGCTCTGTATAAACATGATACGCCCTTATTACCAGCTAGTATATAAAGCGTTGATATTGCACAGTTCTTTCATTTCATATTTTTTCAAACAAAAACATGTCCGGCTGTAGCCCACCCAAACGCCCCAGATTTTTTATTGAAAATATTTTAGGAAATGATAACAATCAAAGAAGAGATCAAATTGAACAAATAGGCATAGGGTCATTAAAAGATTTTATTGAACAACTCGATTCTGAGACTCGATATTGTAAAAAATTCAAAATAATGAAAATTGTTTCGAAATTTGTCATCAAAAACGTTCCGCCTAATCCCGAGGAACTGCTTAGACGCCTCATCGACGAGTGTATCAAACAAGCAATCAAAGAATCAAAGTCGAAAGATATTATTGTGGACCACCTTGGGGCTTTAATTTCTTCACCAATACTCGACAGTGATATCTGGATTCCAATTCGCAAACTACATATTGACGCTGTTGAAAACATACTACAACGATTTCTTCTTGTCTCTCAATCTAAAGCTGAACGTGGATCGCTTTGGGGCGAGCCATTCACGTTGGCAATACATTCTCTGGACGTTGCTTCTCTGCCTAAGGAAAAATCAATATCAGGAAGTGGACCTCAAGATCAACCTGCTAATTCAAATTGGCTCATACATGTACAAAATGTTAATGATAAATATTGCCTTTTCTATGCTTTGGAACTTACAAGGAAATATGTAACGAAGGAATTAGGAAGTAGATTAAAGTTTAGTCGATATCATTTGGGGCGATTCCATAAGCAAAAATCAGATGTAATGAAGTTAATGCAGGATATTGGTATTCCATTGAACAAAGAAAAATATGATGCTCAAACTTATGTCCCAATGGTCGTCGATTATTGGAATAAATATTACATTAACAACGGATATCGCTTCAAAGTGTTTATATTTGGGAATAAAGCAGAGACAACTCCAAAGTACAAATATGGTTCTGAAACTTTCAACACTGCAATTCCAATATGCCATTCTGAAGGTCATTTCGATGGAATTAGAACTGTTGGCGCTCAATTTGGTCCACATTGGCAATATTGCTACTCTTGCGAAAAGAAGTACTGGAAAGCAAATGAACACGCTAACAATTGCAAATCCCGATGTCGTCTATGTGGAAGAGTTGGAATAGGAATGCCTTGCCCTGTTTCTGAAAACTTTAGAAAGGAATGTCAAGATTGCGGGAAAAAGTTTTGGGAAAAGGAATGCTTCGACCATCATAAGTCCAGCAACCAATGTCAAAGGTCAAAACAATGTGACAAATGCGGTACAATATGGAATGTAAAAGTGCACAGAGATAATAGAGGAAAACAACATGTTTGTGGACAAAAATGGTGCAACAACTGTCTTCAATTTCACAGTACAGAAAGAGGATGTTTCATAAGACCACTTGAACAAAAACAACAAACAACTTATAGATTGGTGACCTTCGATTTTGAAGCTACTCAACATACAAAATTTAATGACAGTTCATCAGATCGACTTCATTGTGTGAATTTTATTGCTGCCACTGTAGTTTGCACTAATTGTATGTTGGATAAAAAGCACTGGAAAACATTTCTAAGACGTGACAAAAAGTTTTGTAATGTTTGTGGCCCAAATAGAAACATCACTTTTTCACAACGCCCCTTTTACAAAACAAAAGTCGACGAGCAACGAGTTACAACAAATCCTCTTCATGAATTTGTCAATTGGTTACTATTTGAACTTGATGGACACTTTACAACTATAGCATTTTCTCACTTTGGCGGAAGATATGACATGGTGATGGTTTTTCGAGAAATTTTTGCAGCAGGGATTGTTCCATCAATGATTCGACGAGGAAATAAATTATATGAAATGAAAGTTCAACGTAATAATAAATGCAATGAAGTAATATTCCGTGACTCTTACAACATTTGCCCAGTAGGACTAGGTCAACTTGTTGGTGCTTTCGATCTACAAATCCAAGAAAAACAATTCTTTCCACATTTGGCAAACAATCCCAACAACTACGACAAAACACTTCCAAACCTCCCTCAAAAATCTGATTATTTGTATGGTGGTATGCTACCAGATAAACGAAAGACGTTTGATAAGTGGTACGCCCAGGAATGTCACCAACCTTTTTGTTTAAATGAAGCTCTAGCTGAATACTGCTTGAACGACGTTCAAATCCTAACAGAAGCATTATTAGCATTCCGCAGCAAATTTTTGGAAATTAGCCGACCAAAACAAACAACAGGTTCAATTGGAATAGATATTATACGTGATACAATGACAATCGCGTCGGCATGCATGAAACACTTTAGATTAAATCATCTGAAACCTGATCATTTGGGTATTGTTCCTGAGAAGGGATACGACACATGCGACAACCAAAGCACATTGGCTATGAAATATCTCGATTGGTATGCGGAAAAAAATTCGGTTGTGATTCAAACTGCCCACTCTGAGGAAGGTGAATATAAAGTTGCTGGAAGATTTAAAGTCGACGGATATATAAAAAGTGAGGATAGAGCAATAGAAGTAAATGGATGTGTGTGGCATGCGTGTCCAAAACACTATGGGGATCGTCCAGATTTCATATTACCCAGTGGAAAGACAGTTGAAGTTATTCAAAAGGAAAATAAAGAGATAATTCAAATTTTAAAACAACATATACGATATGTCGACATAGTGTGGGAGTGTGAAATAAAAGACCTGTTAAGAAGAGATAGAAAAATGAAGAAGAGTTTTTCAAACTACATAGATAAAGGACCAATTAAATTACGAGATTGCTTCTTTGGTGGGAGAACTGGTCCATTTAGTCTTTACTATGAGGCAGACGATCAACATGATATTACATACTTAGACTTCAACTCGCTTTATCCATCGACAATAGCAACAACAGCATTTCCTGTGGGCCATCCAAAAGTAATCATAATACCATCAAATGAGCAAAAAGTAAATTGGTACAACAGCAGCCATATTCCTGTGAAAGGAATACTTAAAGTTTTTTTAATACCACCACAACACTCGGATATACCAGTCATGCCTGTAAAATTCGATGATAGATTGCTTTTTCCACTATGTCGACAATGTTCGCTGGATTTTCCCCGAGGCGCTACATTACATGAATACAGCTGTACACATAATGGTGAAAAGAGGGGATGGGTTTCAACATGCACATCAATTGAATTGGCTGAGGCTTTAGACAATGGATATAGAGTGAGCAAATATTTTAGAGCACTTCATTATGATAAATGGGATGGTGAACTTTTCAAAGAATATGTTGCAGAATTTATGAGCATGAAAATACATTCAAGTGGATTCCCAAAACAAATTGATAGCCGAGAGAAAGAAGATGAATTTATAATGGAATGCAAGAAGAGATTTGGAATCAAAATAGAAAGAGAAAAAATGATGCCAGACAAAGCAATGAGGTACATTTCCAAGTTAATGTTAAATTCACTTTGGGGCCGCTTCAGTCTTAGGAATACTTTGACAAAAAGCCATATCACAGATTCGCCTGCCGAACTTAGAACATTTGCAGAGAATAAATCAATAGAAGTCAATTCAATAGACAAATTAACAGAAGACACCATTTTAATAACTTATGAGCCTAAAAATGAATTCATTGAGGAACACAATGCTTACAACATTGTCATTTCTCTTTGGACAACCTCAATGGCGAGAATAAAATTATTAAGAGCAATGCAGAAAATAGTCAGAACACCAGACTGTTCAGTATTGTACGGCGACACAGACAGCATTCTATTCGCTCATCCAAAACAACGCAAATTCCCTCTTTCCGATGGACCATATCTAGGGGATCTAGCAAAAGAATATGATGATTGTGAGATAAAAGAATATGTGGGGGCTGCTTGTAAGGCATATGGACTAAAAATGATAGATAAAGAAACGGGCAAAGAAAAGACATCACTGAGAGTTCGAGGAATAACACTCAACGCAGATGTGTGCAAGAAGCTTCATTACAAATCATTCCGAGAAAGTGTTTTGGAATTTGGACGAATGATGGAAAAGAATGAATCAGAAGGTACAGAAAATGATTTAATTTTAGTCAATTATCCCCATTTCATAAGACCCAATATTAAGAAAGGCATTGTATGTACCACACACATTTCCAAAAAATTTAGCCCTATTATTTTAAAAGGAATTGTTTTACCAAATTATAGAATTGTTGACTTTGGTTATAAATTGTAATATTGGCTATAAAATTTAAATTTAAACTAATTCATTTCATTTCCAAGTGAACAATTTTAAATATTTTTAATTAAAAATTTATATTTGTTAAAATAATAAACTTTTTCCCTCAGACAAACTCAAATTATATATAGGATATAAAATTAAATTGTAAAAATTCAACAAAAATTTATTTTTGATTAAATAGATTAGCTATTTCATTAATCCGAGCATATTTTAATTTTATCACTTTCCTATCATCATTGTAAAAACTACCTCTTGAGGATATTGAAGCTGTCTCCCAATCATTTAAGTCTACATTGATTGGACCGTTATTTTCTTCAAAATTTTCTACGATTTTTTTAATTTTTTCAAACTTCTGTTTTTTTGAAAAATTTCTTGCTGATTTTTCGGATGCTGACCTCTCGTGAGCTTAATATTTAATTAATTTATAAAATTTATACTTAGGAATAATACCACATATATTCACAAATAATTACTCAATTTTACTGTATATTTTTTACCTCAAATATTTAAATGCTAGGTATTATTCCTAAGTATAGGTATTGAAATTTTATTTTAATTTTTAATCATGGTAAAATACTAGGTTTAATTATAAATCAAAATAATTAGAGAAAGTACACGAAAGACAGTTTAAAAAGATTATTAACGCCCATGACAGGCAATAAAAGATTTTTTCGCCCATTACAGGCAATAAAAGAAGATTTTCGCCCATGACAGGCAATAAAAAAGATTAGATAGAAAAAAAGAAATCGCCCATTACAGGCAATAAAAAAGATTAGATAAGGATACCTGAAAACTAAACCTTTCGGTTACTTTCTCTAATTATTTTAATTTATAATTAAACCTAGTATTTTACCAAAATTAAATTATTAATTTTAAATTTGTACCCCTCTTGTTCCTAGTCTGCTGAACTAGAATATCCTCCTCCCCCTCCTAAATTTATGAATATTTTAGGAAAATAAATAAATTAAAACCTCAACTCCAAAACTCCCATCAATAATCAATGTCCCATTCCCCCCACTCCCCTGCGCCTCGCCAGATACGGCGAGGAGAGTGGGTGCCCCCTCCGCCTCACAAATTACGGCTGGAGGAGGCACGGGCTGGGTTCCTGAGGTCCCAGGACCTGAAGGGTCCTAATTAAAAAAATAAAACAATAAACACAAAAATAAACCTCATTTTCATTCAAAGGAGTGGGTACCCCACCCCGCCCAATTCCCTGCACCTCGCCAGGTACGGTGAGGAGATTGGGTGCCCCCTCCGCCTCGGAAATTACGGCTAGAGGAGGCTCGGGGTGGGTCCCAGGTTCCTCGTCAATCGGCTCCTGGAGTTCGATATCTCCAGCAATTGTTCGCACCTTATTAAAATAAAAAATTTAAAAATTTACTCAAAAATACTTCATCATCTTCTTCATCTTCTCCATCAGGGTGGGGCTCCTCATCCCCCCATTCCCCTGCGCCTCGCCAAGAACGGCGAGAGGAATGGGTGCCCCCTCCGCCTCGTCAATTACGGCAGGAGGGGGCTCGGGATGAGGCCCAATCATATCCATAGGCCCACCAACATCCACCTTATTAAAATAAAAAATTTAAAAATTTACTCAAAAAATACATCATCATCTTCTCCAGCAGGGCGAGGCTCCCCACCCACCAACCCTTCCTCCCCTTCACCAAAATTGACTTGCTCCATAATTTCTCCCTCCAACACCTCCTCATATTCTTCTTCCTCTTCTTCCTCATCCGCATCAAGAAGAAAAAATTTTCTTTTGCCTCCGCAAGTAAAGCATTTTGTAATGATTTTACTCACGTTGTTTTTTTGAATGAATTCATAGACGAACTCATTAATTTGGTCAATAGTTGTCCATTGAGCTTTGTCATTGATGAAAGATACCTATAAAAATGAATTTACCGTATATGCTCGAATAATTAACCTGGGTAATTATTGTTTTGACCTCTCGCTGGAGGGGTAATTAATCAAGAGGATGGGTTAAATTTTGGGTATATCTCAATAAATCGAAGAGAAACTCCATTTATTTTTGAAATTGATTCTTATAATGTTTCAATAATTAAAATTGACAATGATTTTTTCAATATTTTTGAAATTAGAGAAGAAAAGGGAAGGGGTAATTATTTGAGAGAGGGGGTAATTATTCGACCATTTACGGTATTTAAAAAAACTTACTAAAAATTCTATCTGTGTCGTGTTTTGGCACAGTTGGCATGAATAGTACCTGGCACGCAGTATTTTCTTATATTCATATTTAATTACATCACAATTTTGCATTGAACACTTTGATCTATATATTTTTCTCTTCTTCTTTTTTCCACCAAGAATTCGGATCATTAAATTAACAAAACAATTTTCTTTTAATTCATAATAAGAAAGAGTACGTCCATCCTCAAGTTGCTTACCACCAAAAATCTTTAAATTAATTTTAAGGACATGTTTTCAATGTATTTTAAAACTTAAGTTACCAAATAAAATTGTTGATATGGAATTCCTTCCTTGTCTTGAATTTTTGCCTTGACATTCTCAATAGTATGAGAAGGTTTAACGCCGATTGTAATTGTTCTTGTATTCGTAATATTAACTAATATTTGGAATGTAGCAGGAAGTTTATTGCCACAAGACATGTCAACAAATGATCCAACACGGTCACTTTTGGAAAGCACAGCTGCGCGAAGACCACAGGATTCGATATTAGAAATGGAGTCAACATCGCTTTCTTCTTCTAAATTTAATTAAAATTTAAAATCCTTAAAAAGAATCATATTCAAGAAATTTTAGTTATGAAATATTCAAAACCCGACACGACTTATTTCCCCTATTAACCCCCTAAAACCCAGGGCCGAGACACAAAACCCGGCCTTTTTCTATCTGAATCCCGATCCGGCAAAAATTTTGAAAACCTGACACATATTTCTCGGACTTGACATCCCTGTTATATATTCAAATTAAATTTTAATAAAAAATACCAATGGATGAGGAAAGAATGTCATTTGCAACATGTGGAGAAGTGTCAGGCTTCGAATCAATCTCCCAACTCCAGCCATAAATCTTTCCATTATCAGCATTCTCATTTCTAAAAAACACTGAAATTATAAAATATTTTAAGTTGAATAACCCAAAGACACGGAAACGACAAGTCTCATTCAACGTCCATGCATCCTCGTACAAAACACCAATCTGAAAGATCAGTTAAATAAAAAAAACAATAGAAAAAAACCATTGGAATTCGTTGACTGAAGTTCACAGCAATAGAACCAAATGAATAAATTGGAGTAGATTTTGTACACACCTTAAAAAAGAAACATTAAATTAAACAAAAATATTGAATAGAAACCTCGCTTCCAATAATTTTCGTTCCAAATGATTCAAAAGCGACTTGTTTGCGGGCAAGTATTTTTCCCCATATCTTCTTGCTCTCATTAAATGAGTAAATTCCTCTTAAATTAAAAATTTTTGAGACGTAATTTAAAAAAAACAACCTCCAAAATATATTCCCATTTTTTGTCAAAACAGCACTATAAAGCGTGCAGCAGAGCAATTTGTCGATATGTTCAAATTTATCTTTGAATTTAAAATGTTAAAAAAGAAAAAATTTTTAAATTTAAACCTTCACCCTTGCGTCTAGCCAAATCACGTGAAATCAAGTATTCGTAGCCATTTCCAGCAGAATAAATGCTATCACTATCAAGTAAAGCGGCTCGTGCGGCACCACTTCCATAGGAACGAAGCCCAGCATCGAGCAAAGAAAGCAGCTCTTCGTGTGGGTAGGCCTCACTTATGTCATCCAAATCATCAATTTCATCATCATCGCGAGAAAGTAAATTGTCGATTGACTCGTTGACATTTAAATTAATGCGTTGTAATTCACGAACAATCGCAGCATGAGATTTGCCTTGTAAAACAACCTAGAAATATCTTAAGAAAGCATGAAAAATAGAAAAAACCTGGCATTGCACGATTAAATCTTTTGGAACGGAAGAGGCAGAAATCATTAGTCGAGGACGATTTCTATCAATCACAACTCCAGTGAGACAAAATCCACCGGAACAAGTCCCTGGACGTGTCATCATAATTCGCTACAAATAAATTTAAAATTTGTAAAAAAAAAGCAAAAAACAAACCCGAATTTTTGCAGTCCGATTTGCGGCGTTTGCAGCAGCATTTGCAGAAGCTGACGCTGGATCAGAGGAACCAGCAGTGGTGGTAGCTGGAGCTGTTGATGAACCAGGGCCGGATTCATCTCAAACAAAAAAATCGTTTTAAAAATTAAAAGATTAAAATACTCTTGTCCGTCGGAGCGGTAGATTCAATAGTGTTGGCAACAATCTCATAACGAAGACGAGCGACTCGATGATCCTAAAAATGTATCAATAGACGTGGGGATACATTGAGCTAGTTGTTGGCTCTTAGAAAATCTTCGAAAATCCGTAATTAGGATTGCCAAAATGGACCGACTCGGACTGGAAAATAGAGTCGGGCCTAAGTTATTTGGTCCGAAAAAGACTCGTACGGCCCGAAAAAAGTCTCGCCGTCGGCCCGACTCGAAACGGCGTTTGCAGTCCGAAGAAATAAGGATTTGTAACAGTCCGAACAAATACGGATTCGAACCGACATTAAATTTTTTTGGCATCCGTGGCCGCCCGAAAGAACTAACCCTCAACCCTACTTTGAACTAAAACCTTGAGAAGGAAAGCAACATAATTATTCCCAGCAGTAACTTGCAAAACATCTTCAGCTGGAATTCTTCGAAGCACTGTACATCCCGGCGAAGTAGAGCAATAACCTTTATTTCGTTTTTCTACACATTCTTTAATCCTGAAAATCTCGAAATAATAAAAGTAAATCAAATTAGAAACCTCTCAAGCAAAAGATTCTCGTTGCCCGGAAGCATATGTGTGAATATGAAAAGTTGTTTGTCTTCAGTCATAAATTAAATTAAAGAAAAATTTTCTAAAATAAAAAATCAAAAAAATTAAACTTAAGGGTGACCAATCCAAAATAGGGAAGAAAAAAGTTGTTATGGCCGCGCGCCTAATCAATTTTTTTACATTGTATAATTTCGTGTCAAAATAAAATTTTTAAAAATAAGCAGGACACGGACACTTAATCGCGGGCCACTTGGTCGCAGGCCACTCGTCATTAAATGTCGGCAAAATGCATTTCCGGGATCCCGAGTCGGGGTTTTTTCTCAACCGATGCCGGGACAGGATCCGAGGGATAAATCCCGAAAAAAATCCCGAATTTCAAAAATCCCGAAAATAATTATCCGGGATCCCGCCCGAGATTTGGGATTTTTTTCAAAATAAAAAATTTTAACTTTTTATGAGTAGAATGCATCAAAATGCTGCAATTTATATGTAAATGAAATTAATTTGTAAAAATATCAATATTTTTTATAATTGGAGTGGCTTTGTTTAAAAATCCCTCTCTTTTTGCGCCGCTGGTTTAGATTTTGAGAATTTATGAAGGTCAAGTGGGAACACCCAGGTTTCAGAAGGCAAAATCTCTCGCTATTCCCTTAGATCCCTTGAACTGTCCGGATATCATTAAAATCCACATAACCCCATTCAAATCCTCCTATATACACAAGTCTTCATTCTCAGCACCGCAGGCGAAAATTTTGAGAAATTTGAATATTTCTAATTTTTTAAAAAAAGGGGGCGTTCCTAGGCGTTTTTCAGAAAATGATCAAACCTATCATTTTCCGCATTCATTTTAAAAAATTTTAAATAAAATTTATTTTAAAGAATTTTATTTTAAATAAATATTTTAAATAAATTTTTTATCCCCACAAATGTATCACTTGAGGGGTCCACTGAAAAAGCCTGTGCTTGAGTGCGGTAAATTTTTTTGACACCCCCGAAAAATATATAGACCCCTCCCAAAAGTAGGGGTTTTGCGCCAAAACATTGTTTTTTCGCGCAAAATTAATCCAAACCCCTTCCAAAGGGAGGGGTTTTGCGCCAAAAATTAACTTTTCGCGCAAAAAAGTGACCTCTAGGCACGGATTTGGCGGCATCTTCAAAGAAAAAATACCGCACCTCAGGCACAGGCTTTTTCAATGGACCCCTCAAGTGATACATTTGTGGGGGACTTACTACTTTGGAGGTAATTAATTAATTAAAATTATTTTTATTTTATTTATTTTTTAGGTTGAAAAGGACAAAACAAATATGGCTTTTCAATTAATTTTGGCTAAACTTGAATTGGTAGGGGGTTTTTAATTTAATTAGGGTTAGATTATGGGTTATATTGAAAAATTGAATATAACAATTAAATTAATTTTTATTTTAGTTAACTAACTCTACAAAACAAAATTCCTCTACAGACTACCCAACACATGAAAATCAGTCATTAATTAAACAATTACAAAATTATCTGCAAAAAGAAGTTGAACAACAAAAAGAGAAGATTAAAAGTTTGGAATTGGATAAATTGAAAAAAGAAGAGGAAATTAAAATTTTAAAAGAAAATTTGGAAGAAAATAAAAATGTTTATGAAAATAAATTGTTAAAATTGGAAGAAGAACGTCTTTTGGCTTTGGATGAATTTTTAAAAATTAAAGAGGAATTTGGAAAATTAAAAGAGGAAAAAGAAAAAATATCTAAAGAAAAAATTGGATTATTAATAACTGAAAGATTGGAAAAGAATAATTTAACACTTTTATCTGAAGAAGATTACAAAAAATTAACCAGCACATTGAAGACATGTGAAGAAATTATTTCTCAACTTCAACGGGAAATTTCCGAAAATAAGAAGAATTATGAACAAGAAATTAAGGTAAATTTTTAGAATTTTAAAAATATTTGCAAGACAATTGCTGATAAAAAATTTAAAAATCGGGAGCTTTTTTGAAGTTTTCAGCACCGCATTTATCTAGGATCATTCGGGAACCATAAGCCGGCATTATAAAACAAACTCTCAACTTAATAATTTTTTTTTAATTTTATACCCGCAATTGCATATTTGTAACATATTTACTCTCATAGATTGTTAAAACCGCTAATACTTTTAATTTGCTTTGGAGTTAAAGTTTGGGATTCAGTTTCGTTACATTGTTGAGTTTAGGACCTACCGCCAAGGACCAGAATCAACTAGTAGGAGGGAGTTGGCCTGGGAATAACCGCTAGTTCATTAATATAAAGTTGGATAAATTATATTTTTTGAATTTAAACAAAAAATGATTTCTTAGAAAATAGAGTTTTTCCTACGAAATAGAAATTAAAATATTATAATTTTAGCAGCAGGCAGAACAAATCAAAATATTAAATGAACGAAATGATGCTTTTCAACAGACTGAATACGAAGCTGAGAAAAAAGTTGTTAATTATTCTTTTTTCATTTGTTAATTTAAATATTTTTAGGCAAAAGAACTTTTGACAAAAATTGAACAGTTACAAATAGAAAATAAAGATTTTGCTACAAAAATTAAATTAAAAGATGAGAAAATTCGTTCACATGAAATGCAAGTTAAAACGGTATTTTTAGTGAATAATTTTAATTTAAATAAATTAATTAAAAATAAAAATGATTTTTGCACAAAGCATTAGACATTACCAGTGGTTGGAAGCTCGTACCGAAATTTGTACTTGTACCTGTGTACGAAGTACGAGCAAATTTCAAAATTGCAACCACTGGATACTACCATAAAAAATTTTTTTGTTAGTTTTCTCTCGGATAACAAATTTTTTATTTAAGAATTATCGAATATACATATTAAGGTTTCACCGGAACCGAAATTTTGACCGGAACCGGATCCAATTTGAGTTCCGGTTCCCGGAACCAAAAAAACACCGGGACTTCCGGTGAAACCCTAATACATATACTTAATTTAATATTTTAAGTTTGAAAAAACAGTTACTTCCCTCAATCTAAAAATTGGCAAATTAACATCAGATTTGGACAAATTAAATAAAGTAATTGTCAAACAACGAAGTATTTTTGTAACTAGACCAAATAAAATAAATTCAATAAAAACTTTTTCTTGTTGTGAAAATGAGTGTATTAATTATAATTTATATGGCGGAGTTTGCAAAAATGGAAATGGATATGTGCGTGTTTTTATAGATTCGATACGTTATCCAAAGGAAGTTAAGTATGGGCTGATTAAATATAACAATAAATTGTCTAATGGAAAAAATAATAATTGGATTTGTTTAATTGCACAACATCCATATACAAAAGCATCTAGTTATGGGAGTGTTTATTCTTTATTTTATTTTGAAGTGAAAATATTTAAAGAATTAAACTCAAAAATGTAATTTTTTAAAAACTTAAAATGTCTGTTAAATTAATTGGAGATCTGACTTAGTTCACCCATTTTTAAGTAGAATATTTATTGAAATAAGACTAACCAGACCTCTTACCTTACATATACATATATAATTTTAATAAACATTTTTACAGTTGTTATGCGGGTATTGGGTTTGATGTTCAAAATGCACATATATTTCTATGTAATTATTCGAAAACTTGGGAAAATTATCAAAAATTTGAATGGGAAGATGGAGACGTTTTTGGTTGTGGAATTGTTTTTCCTCCAAAGAATGATTTGATTAAAAAGGCTTATGTATTTTTTACTAAAAATGGAAATAAAATTGGTGAGGAGAAAATTTAATTTTTGTTTTTAAAAAAGTTTGGGACTTTGGATCCATGGGTGCCCGCAATTGCGGATTGCGTAAATTGCGAGTTTTTTTTGGACTTGCGGGTTGCTGCTGGAAAATTTTTTCATTTGCGTACCTTTTCATTCCCATCATTGCAATGAGTTTCTTAAAAATGAAAAAGACTTGCTGCATTCTACAATGAAAAACTGCAAAATTCTTAAGCTAGATTGATCCGTTTTCATAGGATGCCCTTCAAATATTTTGGCTCTACTTTAGTGAACATTTATGATTCCTATGAATATTTATGAGTCACAGAAGTCTTATATGCGTGACTCCATATAAGCGTCCCATCAAAAATATCGTTTCAAAAATCATTAGTGCTTAATTTTTATAAATCTTAAATGACAATTAAGTGCATTATGAGTAATTCGGAAACAAGGCATGGAAGGTACGAGGAGTCAAAGATCAATGATGCATGACATCGTTGATCTTTGACTTGTGGGACGTATGAAAGTTTATGGGGCTTTAAAAAACTCATGGGACGCATGTCCTAAAGTAGTGCCTATATTTTTAATTCTTTTTTTAATTTTTAGGTAATAAAATCTTTCTTGAAAATAATTACATTAATTTCTATCCATTTATTGGACTTTTGTCTTGTTCGGTGGAAACTAATTTTGGAGATAATCTTGTATCAAATCCTTTTACTTATAATGTTACCAATCATTGTGTTTAAGAGAAATTATTTATAAATTTTATTTTTTGTTTGACTATTTATTTTAAAAATTAAAAAAAATATTTTTATTGTTTAAATTAATAAATATATTTAATTAAAAATTACAAAAATTAAATGTTAGTCTATATCTAATATTAAATATTTAAATTTGAAATTCCTAAATTTTTTTTTATTTTTAAAATTAGTTTTCTTTAGAATGAGTGAAAATTTACAAGGTGTTAATGATGATTTGGCTAGTACTTTATGTTCTTGTTCTACTTCAACTTTTGAAGATTCTTTAAATCGTATAAAATTATTGGAGGTAATTAATTAATTAAAATTATTTTTATTTTATTTATTTTTTAGGTTGAAAAAGACAAAACAAATTTGGCTTTTCAATTAATTTTGGCTAAACTTGATTTGGTAGGGGGTTTTTAAATTTAAGGGAAAATTATGGGACAAAGAGTAATCTCACCTTCAACTAATTTTTAATTCTCTAATAAATTTGTTTTTGAGATATTTCAAAACCCGTATATTAATTAAAAATAACAATTTCCCTTTATTCTTTGATTTGCCTCTAATTGACCCCTATCATCAAAAGACACTGGGTGGTTTAAATTAAAAATCGAACTTGAGGGTTGATTGATATCTAAAATTTAGCTATTCTGGATTTTAGAAATCTCTCTCTGGTCTTATATCTATTTTATATTGAGAGGTACATTTTTGAAATTTCCCACGCTCTGATTTTATATAACTTTTCCTCAACCTTCAAAAAACTAATTAATCTTTTGAATAAAAAATTAAAATTAATTTTAATTAAAATAGTTAACAATTAACTCAGCAAAACAGAATGTCTCGACAAATTATTCAACACATGAAAATCAGAGAATAATTAAGCAATTACAAGAATTAAATGAGAAAATGAGTGGAAATGTAAAAAATTAATAATTTAAATTTAAAAAATAATTTTAGGAAAAAATTTTAAATTCTTTACAAAAAATGCAATTAGAATATTTTGAAAATAAAAATAAATTGGAAATTGAAGTTGAAAAACAAAAAGAGGAAATTAAAAGTTTGGAATTAGATAAATTGGAAAAAGAAGGGGAAATTAAAAGTTTAAAAGAAAATGAGGACGATTATGTTACTTTGGATCAACTGTTTAAAATTAAAGAGGAATTTGAAAAAATAAATGAAGAAAATGCGAAGATTTTAGAAGAAAAATTAGTAGAATTATTAAAAGAATTGGAAGAAAATAAATTAAAAATTGAAAAATACGAAGAAGATAAAAAATTGGAATTAATTAATTTGGCTAAATTGAAAAATGAGAACGAAGAGATTTTTAAGGAAAAAGCTCAATTATCAAAGGAATTTAAAGAATATAAAGTTAAAATGACTAAAATGGAAGAAGAAAACAAAAAATTAACCAAAAAATCGGAAGTTTCGGAAAATATTATTTCTCAACTTCGACAAGAAATTTCACAAAATAAGAAAAATTATAAACAAGAAATTAAGGTAAATTTGATTTATTTTTATTTTGAGAAAAGAATTATTTTAATTATTAATTTTAGCAAGCTAAAGATTTGGCAGAAGATCGAGCTAAACAAATTAAGACTTTAACTGAACGTAACGATGCTTTTAACAAGAATGAATACGAAGCGGAGAAAAAAGTAGCAGTTTTTATTAATTAATTTAATTAATTTAAATATTTAAAGGCTAAAGAACTTTTGACAAAAATTGAACAATTACAAGTAGAAAATAAAGATTTTGCTACAAAAATTAAATTAAAAGATGAGAAAATTAGTTCATTTGAGAAGGAAATTGAAACGGTATTTTTAGGGAATAATTTTAATTAAAATGTCTTTACGGCTTGTATCATAACCAGACCAGGTCATGGATACAGATAATACCCGGATATCCGCGGATATATCCGGATACGGACGGATATGGATAATGTCAGTAATTGAAATCGGAAAAAATTTTCAGAGCTTGAATTGCCCTCTAACAATTTCTGGGATTTGTACAGGGAGTTATCCTCCATTAATGTTTATCTCTCTCATTTGTTTTACCCTCCTTTATACAAATAATTAATTTAATTGTTTTTAAGTGGAGAAGTTTAAATGAATCGCGTAAAAAAGAATTGGATAATTTAACTAAAGAAAATGATAAATATATTGTAAGGGCTTTTTTATAGTTATTTTTAAAAATTATTTTTTTTTTCAGTTTTACGTCAAAAGACCAAATAAAATGTGCACAATTGAAAATGACTCTTGTTGTCAAAATAAATGTATCAATTCTAATTTATTTGATGGTTATTGCATTAAAGGGAATGGATTTGTTAATGTTTATGAAGATTATTGCAAAGGGTGGATACATTGTAAAAATAAAGAGTTGGATGGGTTTGGAGTTGTTAGGGATAATAAATGGATTTGTTTATATGGACAGCATCCATATACAAAAGCTGGAAGTTATGGGAGTGATTATTCTTTATTTTATTTTGAAGTGAAAATATCTAAAGAATTTAATTCTAAAATGTAATTATATTTAAATAAAAATTAATTTTAAATAATTTTAAGTAGGCTTAGATGTAATTGGCCTGGTCCTGGGCAAAGCCCTGTGTCCAAGCATGTTTATTAGAGTCAATGTCAATGTTAGTAAAATTAGGCTTTACATCGGGATTTTTATGCGCGAATCGGGGTTGCGGACATTTCGGATAACATTTTTATTTATTTTTGTGTTAGCTTTCGACTTTTTAGGATTGGTCTGTTTTTCTAATTTAAAGTCCCTATTTTACCATTAATTAACCCACTTTTATTTTTAATTTAAAAAATCTATAAACAATTTTTTAGTTGTCATGCTGGTATTGGTATTGATGTTCCGAATGCAAAAATATTTTTATGTAATTATTCAAATACTTGGGGAAATTATCAGAAATTTGGTTGGGTAGATGGGGATGTTTTTGGTTGTGGAATTGTTTATCCTCCAAAAAATGATTTGATTAAAAAGGCTTATGTATTTTTTACGAAAAATGGAAATAAAATTGGTGAGGAGAAAATTAAATTTTTATTTTTAAAAAAGTCAAAACATTTTCTGATTTCCATATTTTGCTTTCAATATAATTTTTTAAATTTAAGGTACTAGAATCTTTCTTGAAGAAGATAATATTAATTTATATCCATTTATTGGACTTTTGTCGTGTTCGGTGGAAACGAATTTTGGAAATGATCTCGAATCGAATCCTTTTGTTTATAATGTTAACAATTATATTATTTGAAGAGAATTTATTTTGAATTTAATTTTTTGATTGATTATTTATTTTTCTTTTTGACTTGATTAAAAAAATTTTATTTAAATTTATACATCATCAAAAATAACAAAAATTAAATTTTATTTTAATATTTATGTATATTAAATATCTGAATTTACAATTTTTAAATTTTTTTTTAGTTTTTATTAGTTTTATTAATAAAATGAGTGAAAATCTACAAAATCCCAATAATGATTTATCTACCTCTTTATGTTCTTGTTCTACTTCAACTTCTGAAAATTCTTTAAATCGTATAAAATTATTGGAGGTAATTAATTAAGCTTACTTATTTGGTAATAGTTCGGGTTATTCTGCCCCATTTTCTCTTTTCCTTAAACATTTTATAAGGAAAAGAAAAAAATTTATAAGCTCTTCGAGCTGAGCAGAATGATACAATGATAGGTTAGTTTGGCGATACTGAACTTTTTTTGTGTCGATTCAAGCGATTAAAGTCAGATTTCGTTGATTTTAATGCCATACGACTCAGCTCGAAGAGCCCTTTCAAGCGATTATAATTTGCCGTGAAAAGAACATATGCCGCAAAGGGAAACAAGCGAGAGTTGGGGAAAAATCCGAACTATTACCATTAACATATTTATTTTTTGTAGGTTGAAAAAGAAAACAAATTTGGCTTTTCAATTAATTTTGGCTAAACTTGATTTGGTAAGGGGGTTTAAATTAGTGAAGGTTATGATGACTAATCCGAATTAGGGATCGGATTTTTAGGTCGTAAAAACCTTAAAATAGGCACCTAAATAGGTTGTAAAAAATGCTAAAATTGGTGACAAAAATAGGCAAATACATAGGTCGTAAAAATAGAGAAATAGGTCAAATCCTATCCCTAATTATTATACTAATATATAAAATGTGAATTATGTATAGGCCAATTTTTATCTAATTTAATCACTATTTTAATTAGATTTTTTTGAATAATTAAAATTATTTTATTTTTCAAAGAAAAAATAAATTTAAAAATCATTTTTAATTTTTTATAAAAAATTTAAAAAATAATTTCAGCAAAAACAACATGAAGAGAAAATAATGAAAAAAGAGGAGGAAATTAAAATTTTGAAGGGAAATTTAGAAGAAAATAAAAATGTTTATGAAAACAAAATATTAAAATTGGAAGAAGCTTTGAATGAATTTTTTAAAATTAAAGGGGAATTTGAAAAATTAAAAGAGGAAAATGAAAAGATTTTTGAGGGAAAAATTGAATTATTAAAAGAATTTGAAAAATATAAAATTAAAATGACAAAAATGGAAGAAGAAAATAAGAAATTAACCAAAAAATTGAAGGATTCTGAAAATATTATTTCTCAACTTCGAAAAGAAAATTTAGAGAAGAAGGAGATTTATAAAGACGAGGAAGTAAATTTTTAATGTTTTAAAAATTTTTAATGAGCAGTTAGATAATATTAATTTTAGGAAATTGAAGATTTGGCGGAAGATCGAGATGAACAAAAATTGATTCAATTAAACAAAAATGTCAAACATATTGTAAGCATTTTAACGTAGTAAATTAAAATTTTTGGTACTTTTCCGGACAATAGTTTGGAAGTTGCCCCCTTTTTCCCCACTTCCCCAACCATTATGAGCTTTTCTGTTTGATATATAATTTGTTATATATCATTCGATCCAGCTCTTCGAGCTGGATCGAATGATACCATAACTTTGTACAACCAAGTTAGATTTCGTTGATTTTAGTTTCATTCAACTCATCTCTAAAAGCTCTTTTGAATGATGTATAATTTGCCATAAATGAGAAAAAAGTACAAAAAAAAATTGAAGAAAAAATGGGGGCGACTTCCAAATTATTATTCTTTCCCGTTACGGGGCCACCCACGCATTTAAAATTCCTAAAAATGTCATAAATATTGGCAAAAATATGTCATTCAAAAGAGCTCGTCGATCTGAGTCAAATGACATTAAAATTACTATGTGGGCTTGAAATGGTAAAAACGTCAGAAACTCGAAATAACAAAAACCAAACTATTTACAGTCATGTTTAAAATATACTGAAAATGCAAAATACAAGTAATAATCTATTTTAAAAATCAGATAATCCTTCCTCCTGATCTGTATAATTTATGCAAATAGAGATTGAACGGACTGGAAAATTTAAAAAATTCTCTTAGT